CAATGCTCTTAAAATTAGCTCTTCAAACTAATACAGTGCTAAAGGAGAAATACATGCAATTTTTACACAGTTACGTGTCAAATACCCGTTGAAAAAAAAACATGTTTTATTTATTTTTAACAGGAATGCTAAAAATGCTAGTGCTGTGCATGTGCAACGCATCAATTTGTCCTAGCATTTGATGCAAACTTTATTACTTGGCAATCAATCAATGTTGTACAAAAACGTCCAACTGACGTTAATTAAGTCTCATCATGGATTCTACGAGTAGTTACTTCAATTTATAGTAACACTAGCTTTCCGGCCGCGGATTCGCCTGCGTGAAATTTTATCTGTCACAGAAAAACGTTATCGCGCGCGTCCCTGTTTCAAAAACCGGGATGAAAACTATTATATGTCCTTTCCCGGGACTCAAACTATATCTATGCCAAATTTCATCAAAATCGGTTTAGTGGTTTAGGCGTGAAAGCGAGACAGACAGACAGACAGAGTTACTTTTGCATTTATAATATTAGTAAGGATTCCGTTGCACAGTGGCATGGCATTTATATTTGATAGAGCCAGGCCACCCATTAGCTCAGTAATGAGTTCGAGACAAACATTTGCGAAAGATCTTTTGCTGGAATTTACCACAGTGTTCTGTCTCGAAATATCATTTCGCAAGCTAGAAAGTGGCACACAGGCATGAGGAGCCCACTGTTTACTGATACAAAATATTTGTAAATTATTCTGACATTATCAAGATACGCACGCATGGTGGGTTAGTTCACCTAGTTCACTTTGGCTGGGTTGCACCATTTTACTTTAACTTTAAGGTCCGTTTTCCACCAAGGCGGAGCGGAGTAGAGAAGTGTTTTGAATGACCGATCAGATTTCATTATTTCCACATCAACACTCCGTTCCGTTTCAGTGGAAATGTGTCGAGCGGAGAAGAGCGGAGGAGTGTCGGGTAAACACGTTTTTCTATAGAATTTGACAGCGATGACGGCAAGGCGCGGTGCTTTACAGAGCGGTGCGGTATTTCATAGATAGCAATTGACTGACAGCTGACAGCTACGCACAGCTCACACATAGCCTGCCACTTCGCCGCACGCACATCTCCTCTTGGTGGAAACCGGGCCTAACAAACGTCAAACGTCTAATGTAAAATGTAAAGTAAGATGGTGCAACCCAGGCTTATTTTTAGTGTTAAGCAAGTCTTATTACGGTTTTACTTAACTTTAGCTATCTCGCCAAATCAACAAAAAATAATATGATACCTAAGTCAGGTTTTTTATTGAGCTATAAATACCAGAATCATAGTTATTACATGCTAATAATTCACCATTATAATAACTAATTAATTACTGTAACACAAACCTGAGATTCCTTTAGAATCTTCCACGATCTATTTAGCACCGTGAATGAAGCGGTGTGTAATGAACATCACGTAACTGTTGTAATCCGATTCTGATCAACGATATTATTCCTTCTACCTTCATACAATTACCAAATGGTTGCAAATATTTTACAATTCTTGAATAAAAAATTACGGTCCTGTTAGAGCCCTCCCTAGTGCAGATATCGTAAGAGGACAATAGTCCAACGGTGTCAGTTTTTACGAGAAAGCTCTTGGCCTGCATTCACCTGATGGAAAGTGATGATCAGATTGAAGGTGGAAGTGAGCTTCACCCGTAATCCTCAACCACAGAAGAACTGGCTATCTTACCTCTAACTACCGGAACATAACATTGGTGTTATGTTGACAGACTTTAGGTAAGATGGTGGTAGCTAGCCAAGCGGACTTAGAACAAGCCCTACCACCAACCAAACCGAACAGAAAAGTATATTATAACTAGCCTAAGATGCCGCAGTAAATGTATAATTTTACTTCTGTACATGAAAAGTTATGCGTATTAATTTGACATTGAAAACGTGACTTGGTTGATACGATACTATGTTGATAGTGACCAGAAAAAAATAACTTTGTCACGTGTAGTGTGTGAAGTAGATAGCTTTCCACGTGTTTCGATATATCTACCTATATAGTTACAGCTCATCACATTTTACATTTTTAGTTGACAATTCACACTTTTTATAACTGAATTAAGACACCATCTGCCGTCGTCTGTACAACATTAAACGCGCAATAAATACCTACCTATTTGGTTTTATTTAAGCCGTGGATGAATTTTCTGATCATGTTGCAATTTAGGCAAAACTTGCTTCATTTCATTAATAGCTGGAAATTTTCTTATTCTGTCATCATTATTAGATGACTACTGTCTGTTATATTGTATAGCGACACTATGTTACCACAGAATTAGGGTACAGTTGTAACTCTCAACTTAACTGGGTTTTAACAGAATAACCATTCTTCCCGTCTCGTATAAATGTCGTAAGAGGCGACTAAGGAAGAAATATGCAATCATTAGACCTTCCCAATCCTCTGGCCAGCGTGAGAAGGGAAAACAAAGTCCTCCATTTGCCTCTGGTAAAATAAGAGAGAGACGTGTTCCTGTAGTAGAGACTAAATGACCTGATAGACTAACTTTGGAACGATCCAAAAGTAATAATTGGTCTCTGAAAATACTCCAATTCGGTCTTTTTTTTATGCATAACAAGGCAGGTATTTGACCACAATCGCACCTGATGTTAAGTGGGATGCAGTCTAGGATGGTACATATCTGCCCTGTAAGTGCTTATTCACTCTCGCCTTGAAGAGGTCTACCCTACGCCACCTTCTATCCACCTTCACTATTTCCTGTAATAAAGAAGAGGCTGACAAAGGGGACTGAGTTCCTTCTGCCACTTCTTCACAGCACCCGCCGATATTGTCCCAAAGTATTTAGGGCAAGCCATATGTGGAACGTGTAGGTATTAAGAGTATAACCATAAGCCTACATGCCGATGCAGAAATAGAATTTGAAATTTTATGTAAAATATCACAATAAAATAATTACTACAATCTATACTTCTATACTATAATATCTATACTCTATACTAATATTATAAATACGAAAGTAACTCTGTTTGTCTGTCTGTCTTGCTTTCACGCCTAAACTACTGAACCGATTTTTATGTTTCGCATAGAGATAGTTTGAGTCCCGGGAAAGGAAATAGGATAGTTTTTATCCCGGTTTTTGAAACAGGGACGCGCGCGATAAAGGTTTTCTGTGACAGACAAAAGTCCACGCGCGCGAAGCCGCGGGCGGAAAGCTAGTACAACATAATTCACAATCACAAGTTCACAAAATGTTGTTAAACTGTAAACATGAGTAATACGCGCCTAAAGTAAGCCAGTAGGTCGTATTTCGGCGGTTTAGCAACTCTTATATAACCTGACCTTGTGCAACACCCGATCACAACGCGTTCAAGTTCAACACTCATGATGGATGTGACAGGTCTGTGGAGATGCCATTGTCATCTTCAATAGCCCACTATTGGGCACTAACTAGTAAGTTATTTGAAGAATTTAGGGGTGCCAAACCATAAGAAAAATTAAATTTTCAGGAGACACGAAAACTGTACTGATAGTGACTGAGTTTCTTGCGCTGCTTCTTCTCAGCACTGGCCCATTTATTGTCATGAAGCAGTGGTAGGGTTAATACTGGGACGTGTAAAAGTGCTTTTTAAAAGCCTAATTGCATAAATAAATGAGGTTTTTGAGTTTTTTTTACTGTGCTTTTTATTTTACAATTAAAATATTTTGTTTCTTCTGGGTCCTCCTAATTTTCTGGGTCATTTAGCTGGGTAACTTTATGGTTTATTACGAAAGCTGTCTCTATCTCCATTGACTCCAAAGAAGAGACAGCTTTCGTAATTCTTCAAAGAACCTTCTCGTATCTTCCAGCATTGGATATTGTGTTCTCTTAGAAATGGTAGAAAAAAGGTCACTCAGGGCAACGGTCAGACTTTAAATAAGCTGTCATAGATGTCTGACATTATTGCTTAGTCGAACTGATGCCTAATGAAATCTCAGAAAGACATTTTCCATATTTCTTTACAGACATTGTATCTCAAGCCAGCAATGTCCTGAACAAAGTGGAAAGAATAGTAGTAGTCTTAAAAAGATATGTGTGTGTGCTTTGGGAATCCAATCAAGCGTCTCCGCATCGAGAGATTCCATCCCTCTTTCTGCGGAACGCGGTCTTCATTCAGTCTTGTGCTTGTCATTCATTTATCAGGGACGAAATGAAATTGAAAAGTCTACTTTACAATTTACATTCTTCAAATATGTTCTAATTTTAAAACTGCTAAGAGGAAAATAGAGTTCGATGTTTAAATGCTTTTATTCTTTTCGTACGTGATTCTATTCGATTCCAGCCGGTATTCGAAAGTAGCGGTCATCGCTCTTTGCGACATCACCTTGCCACCAGTGACCGAGCTACACTAGTTACATAACACCGCGCCGCTCGCCGCGTTTGTTGTGGTTGCGGCGAACGTCCTTGAGAATTGGCTCTACCGCAGGTTAACTAATTTGATGCCAGTTATGCGATATGCATAATCAACGTTTCGTAATGGAAAATCAAATATTTGAATATCTTAGTACGAGTATATTGCCCGTTTGCAGCTAATGTTGAGTTTTTCACTTACGTTTCCCTTTTCGATATTTGTTACTTACTGCTGTCACTTTAAAAAGGTCTTTAAACATCAAAATGTACACCTAATTCATTGTTTTTGGTCCTTTTGGTTAGCTCTCTCTTGTTCTCTACTAAAAAAAATGCAGTTTGAACTGGTGTTCTCGGATGTATTTTGTCAGTTCTATATTATTTTCAAATTGTTTGCTATTCTTAACAGGATATTGACTTTCAATATTATCCTTCCTAAGTGTTATTCAAGGTTGATGTGCTTTTAATAAGTTTCGCGTACTCTAAGTCATTCATTAGGTATAGCTAATCGTAAAAGATAATATGTACGAGTACCATCCTATACTGCATCTCATTTAACAGCAGGTTAATACCTGCCTTGTTATGCATAAAAAAGAATAATAAATAACATTACTAATTTGTCTTTTCCAGCGGAATACATCTTACCCTGCCGGCAGAGTGACCCTCAACTGGACACGTGCATCAAGGGTTCCTTTAACCACCTGCGGCCGTATCTGGCCAGGGGTCTCCCAGACATCGGGGTGCCGCCGGTGGAACCGCTGCTGATCGACCGGCTGGTGATGGAAAATAATGCGGGCCCCGTGCGGGTCACGGCTGCCTTTAGTAATATTACTGTGGTGGGACCCAGTAATTACACTATTACTAAAGTTAGGTAAGTACAGAACTGTGACTCATTTGAGAAACTTTACAAAAGAAGTGAGGCCATGGCTAGACTGGTGTGGTGTATTTCGCTGGCGGGTTAAATCATTGACAACAGGAAAAAATATAACCTGTTAAAGTATCAAATTAAACAGCGAAATGCAATAGATTGCTGCGTAGAATGTACTATAATATATTTACAGTAATCAATATCACAGATGCATAAAATATTATAAATATTTTCATGTTTGGAAAGTTTCATATTTTTATGATTCTGCACTAATGAAACGGGTGGTTGAACGCCACAAAACAATTTTGCTTCGCAATTTATGATGCGTAATTTTAAGATAGAGTATCTAAAAGTAAATACTTTAACGTAAGTCTTTTTACTTGAATAGCAATGAATTTTTAAGAAGTCCAGGATTTAACATTTTTGCTTTTTTAATAGTGTCAATATCTTTTACAAGCCTTAGCGATTCTCAGTGGGCTGTGACCCACACGTTTAAAATTACAGCCTCAAATTATTATGGTCCGAGTTGGCTAATAGCTTGGGGACTTACAACACGATTGTTCAGCGACAAACATTGCAAAAGTACCGTCTGGAGTCCTAATATGTCTGCCTATGGCACGTGAAGGTTGCGAGTTGAAAGTCGATATATCTTAATATTAAAACGGTTTTCACAAATTATCTCTATTCTTGGAAGATCTATGCAATCATAGCTACCATTAAAGTAAGAAAAACACAGCCATACTTGTGTGTAGAGGAGTTTTACCACGCTGTCGGTATCGCATATCGCATCCCAAATTGCAGACCAAAAGGCATCGCGAAACTTTAAGAATCACGAAAACGGAACCCTGACAATGAATGAAGAATAAAGCAAGAAAAAGAATTTATTCAAAATCAAAAAATTAGAATCAAAGTCAAAAACATTTTATTCAATTTAGACCACTGCACTAGTGGTACTTATGAACGTCAAAATACAGTAGATAAAAAAAGGTAGCCCTTATGGCGTACTTTACATGTTTCCTTATCTTTTGGGCCCTACCAGCTATTTCAAAATTGTATAGTCACAATACACAGACAGTGTGCATGAATTAATTTTTGAACCAAAATGGCACCTACTCGGCATGTATCATGCTTTAGGATAGAACCCAAAATTAATATTCTCTAACTTACAACAATGTGTTTGTTAATTCCAGGTCCGACCTGAAGAAGCTGCGCATCGACATGGGCCTGGTGCTCCCGAGGATCGAAATCACGGGCCGCTACGAGGTGTCTGGACAAGTTCTGCTGTTCCCTGTACGCTCGCAGGGAGATTTCTGGGCTGCGTTCAGTTAGTACCATCATCTATAGCATAATCTTAATCATCATCATCACTTTTATCATAATCACCAGGATCCTAAACAGCATCACACTCTCTATAATTTGTCAAAGACAATAGAACGTAGCCTACACTCCTCATGGTTGCCAGGGAGGCTTGATGTTCGCATATTTGTGCTAATCATCTAAGATGATAAGTAGGTACTGTACTTTTACATTGTAGAACTAATTACAACTTAAAAGTACGTTTTACTTGATTTATCGATGAAACTAAATGAACGAATAAATGAATTCTATAATAAATAACGAAATAAGCAACGGTCAGATGATTTTCGGTGAAACGTTACATCGGAGAATTAAAATTTCGCACTAATAAGGTATCGATTAGTATCGATCAATGGAGCAATTGATCAATAGTTTTCGTTGAAATAAAGACGGTCATTTGACTTACGAGATATTATCGTAGGGAACCTACAATAGCATAAGATTCCTGAGTGCTAAGCTTGAAGTTCATTTGTAATGCTAAAGGTTTAATATTTACGATTGCAGTGGACGTGGCAGCCATCGCCAAGATCTTCGGCAAGGAGGTTGAAAGGGAGAACGTCAAGTACATGATGGCGGACCGACTGCTGGTCGACTTCAAGCTGAGAAGCTCCAGGTTCAAGGTCCGGGATACCGTCAACCACGGAAGTGTTATTGGTGAGTAACGAAGCAAAGGTATGTTTATGTAAATCAGTTATTATATTTCAAAGCTTTTAAACAGTAGGTAAATATTTAGGACGTTTCCAGTAGGCCTAGGATGCGCGCCGCCTTTACTTGCCGTTTTATCGACTTTACGCGATAAGCCCATACATTTGTCTTCTAAAATCATCGATACATTTTTATCATGGCGCGCATCCTAGCCGGGCTGGGCGCTTATACATACACGTTCCAAATATAGCTGGCCCTACCACCACTTCGGGACAGCATTGGCTGGTGCTGAGAAGAAATGGTAAAAGAAACTCAGTTATAATAAACTAAACGTGGATTTAATTGATCTAAATGACTCAATTAGGTCTGGTTCAGACACGTGCAATAACTATGCGGTTCTCACTGGCGAGTTACTGAGGCGGTAACCGTGCGGTTATAGTTTGATGCAAATGTCCAAGAACTGCCCAGAAACCAAGCTGTTATCGCGCGTGTCTGAACCAGGACTTGTGCAGGGGAGACCGAGGTGAGTTGTAGTAACAAAGGAGAGTTGTGGCATTGTCGATTTTTTGGAACTTATTACTAGCGAGCTCGTAACAGCGCGCGTTTAGTTCAAGTCTCGTGCTAACAAATACGCGCTATTGCGAACTCGCTGCTAGTTACTTCCAAAAATCGAAAATGTCCCAACTCTCCCCTGTTAAACTCTCCTCGGTCTCCCCCTACTTGTATACGATGCATTTTTAATTAATTATAACCAACAGAAAGCTATAGAGAATCGGCAGAAATGTGTACTTCTGTTATGTTTTTAATAACAAGGGGGTAAGTGATGAATGTCTCTAAACAGGTGAGGCCATGAACCAGTTCCTGAACAACAACGCAGCAGAAATCATCGACGAGATGAGGCCAGCCGCGTCCGTGGCCATCGCCAAGCACTTCCAGGCCTTCGTCAACGCGGCCTTCACCAAGATCCCAATCGATGTCTGGCTGAAGCCTTAGAACGTTAAGGAGCCCTATTGTTTGAGACAGATCGAAAAGGACCCTATAATATACGGAAAGATCCATCTTTACGATCATTCCTTTCAAAACGAGTCGAAACGGACAGATATAATGAATCCTTTTAAGATCGTTAACTTGATCTAAGATGACTTCCAAAACTCACGTAAGTTTGAATCTATAGATTTAGGTCTTTGTCTGTGACAGCAAGATCTTGTCGTTCCATTGAAGACACCCGCAGAATGCAGACTTTTTTTCGGCCAATAGTTTGATCGGGCTGTAATAAATAAAGTGCGCGCATTACATCGATTTGGTATCGGTCGATTCCTCATATAAATTGGAAGCTGACCAAACTATAGGCCGACTAAAAGTCCGTAGCCCCGCAGACAGACTTTTAGTCGGCCTATAGTTTGGTCAGGGTCGTATGTGTAAATTTTGAGCTATCGATCTTCCAATATCCTTTTAGATTAATCGTAACGACGGATCGTTCCATATACAATGGGGATTTCTACGTATCTCTTCAAATCTGGTTCGACTGATGACGTACTTTTAGTCAAGTACTTACAGCCAGCAAAGTAGCGTGATACAGTTTTTCTTTCGCAAGTAAGATTTAAAATTGTTCAGCTACTTTCTTTGCTGGATTCAGACAATTTAGCCTTATTTTGATTCCCACGATGGGGATATTAATGACATACATATTTGTATTATTACTTTAAGAAAATTCTCATGTGATCACATCACAAGAAAATACGAATGCGAGTAGTAACTAACACCTACTTAACTACATAATTATACGAGAATTCTTTGTCACAAAAACTTGCAGGTAACATAAAGGAGGCTACACATAGGCTACACATTGTTTAATGTTTTTTTTTTAATTTATTATGTTGGTTGGAGAGGCACCCGCTGAAAACCAGCGTCGTGGCACGCGTACAAGCACGCGTGGCTCGATTAATGCTGAGCGGGCGCCTTTTTGGCACAAAAATATGCGTGTATAGTTTTAAGTCCCTTTGTTCTGTTTTTTATTTTTTTCTTTTTGTGTCAAATAAAGTTTTTCTTATTCTTATTCTTATAGGCGTGTTATCTTTAACCGGCACAAAATCATAGATATCATATGAATAAGGTCCATACAAAAGCTTTGCGTTCAACAACTGCAAAACTGCGTGTCCTGACCCGCTTATGTGTAGCGCCCTTTACTTTTACATGGATACCTAACTAAGTGACAGACAAGCGAAGTCCAGTGAAAACAATCATAGTAATAAGTCAAACTCGATGATGCTTTGAGCTAGAATTTGGTCAGTTTTGTTTAAGCGAGTTCTAGTATATTTTTATATTACAAGTTAAAATTAAAAATGAATTTACTAGAACCCACCGTGTGATGTTACGTTTTAAAATTCTAGTGAAATACAAACGTTAGTTCAAGCTAGTTTTAAATCAGCTGAAGCATTTTAAAATTACATTTATAACAAACCTTAGTTCTTCATTGTAAGGAATGATGCTTTTGCCTGAAGGCATGTAATTAAGCTTTATTTATTTAAGTAAGTTACCAAATTTAGTTTTTTAATTGCATTCTATTTTTAATAAATTAATTTGAAATGTAAACAGACTAGTTGTAAGTTGTGTGTGAATGTGATGATTTTATTTTTTTTGTTTTATCAACAGTTTTTTTTTTACTGTGATTGAAATAATAAATACCTGCTTTATATTACAATACAAGTGATAATTACTTTTGTTTTTTATTTAAATATATTTTGTTTAAGAAAGTTTATAGCACAAGTTTATACCCATCCATAAAAATCACCTTTATAAAGGTGTTTGTAAATTTTTATACCAGTTACCAGTTACACTTTTTTTCTAAAAGAACAAAATACAAATCTTTAATTCAGTACTTAAGCCCTTTCCAGGTCGCTTATCCACGTCCCTTTTCATTAAGCTTTACATTATTACAATACACATATTTTTTCAATCAACTGTTAATATTATAGACTTTTAGCATACTTATATTGTGCTTTTAGTAGCTTTGAAATTAATAATTCAGTTTGCATACCCATACAAAGCAATGGGATTCACGTACGTAATTAATACATGGTGTCAATTGAAAAACTCAAACTCACTAAAAATTCAAATTTATTAAATAAATAACGTATCTACATCTCCTTCATTCACGAGGACAGCTTATCATCAGCCAATTGAAAATGTCGCTTTAAAAACTTAAATAATTTATTAAATAAATAAATAACTTATATCTCCTACTTTCACGAGGACAGTATATCATCAGCGTTGAGGGTGGCGAAGGCATGATCAGCCAGGGGCCTCAGGAAGTCGTGAAGAGCCTCCTCCATTGGCGCCTGCAGTTCCCCAGCCAGTTTCTGCCAGTTCTCGTTCAGGAATTTGTTCATTGAGTTGCCTGGTAAAGAAAGACGTTTGAATATTGAAACATACGTATTATAAAATATTGACTGGTGATAATAATGACAATCAACCAGTGTTCCTGATTTTGTCGTTAGGTGTATTTAAAGCCTCAAATTCACTTACTTTAAACTTAATCTACTGTACACACGGCCACACTGTTAACTATTCATTTCCGTTTTTGCTCTCGCTCTCATCAAATGGTGATTCTTTGCGATAGAACGAGACGACATGACAGGCTATGGATAGTTAACACTGTTGCCGATGGTACGTTAGGTACAAACATTACCCTGTATTTGGATTCAACTTTTAATTGGCTAGAAACATTATAAATGACGCTAAAGGTGCGCTCTTTGGTTGTTTTAAACGTAATTTCCACGTCATCTCACTCCATTAGCCTCCCAGTGAATTTAAGGCTTTAAATTTTTCTAATTATGAAGCTTATTTGATCTTCATTTCTTCTACACGAGCAGGTAGAATTAAAAACCCTAATTCAGTAATATTGAAAAATATTCAAAACCAAAGCACCTTTAGTCTCACCAACCCGTACTTGTGTTATCAAAAAGAGACATTATTTGAATTACCTAATTCATTGTCCCCTCCGAACAAATTTTCCAGCTCCATAGACGCATATCCCATGTGGAACTTGACGTCCAAGTCCTCGCAAGTGAGAGTGTCGAAGTGGTTGGGCTGGTGCTTGCGACCCAACACTATCGTCACTAGAGCGTCGATGTCACCTGGAAAAGGATAGATGTTACAGATAGCACACACATTATTATGAGGTATCACAGTGCGCGTGGACGCACAGGGTGACACACAAACCAATCACAGAGCTCTATTCAACGCTGTGCATTCGATTTGCTGCTTAAGCAAGCATCGTTTGTGAATGCAGGCGTATAACCATATCAATTAGTTGAAAGGCCCCAAAGGCCTTCCCCAAGGAATTCCACAGTGACCAGTCCTGCGCTGCCCACATCCAGGTATTTCCCGTGACCTTCACCAGATCATCGATACACCTAGTGAGAGGCTTGCCCACACTACGTCTTCTGGCCCTTGGTAAAGGGGAGGTGTATTTTAAATAGCCAATCAGACTTCCCAACCTTAGTTAAGATTCGGCAGAGAGATGTGGAAATATCCTCTTCGCTTTAGTGGAAACCAGCCGGGCTAGAATATATACGCAGTGATACAATCTTATCGACATCAAAATGTATGGGTAAAATCGATAAAATGGCATGATAACCGCTTATCGCGGCGCGCATCCTAGGCCTAAAGGCCTAATAGTCTTTAGACATCCATAGATAAACGTAAAAGTAACGATAAATAATACTAACCGTATTTGGCGGAGAATTTTCCCTCGCCCTCAATAGGCAGCATCAGGAGTTTCCCTGAAAGCTTGTAGTTTCCCTTCATCCTCAATTCTGGGATGAATATCTTAGCCACCACTCTATGCTTCTTTGAGTCTACCCTGGAACAAGAAAGGTTTCACCCTTAACTAGGCAGTGGTTAAATGGAGCCACATCAATTTAAAATTTATGCTGTAAAGATACAGTTGAAAATCAATGAAAATATGTTTTATTGTGCCTGGTTTATAGATTTTAAATGTTTCAAGTGCATTAAATTTTCTTTGAATAGGTTCTACCCTATTACTACATCTTTATCCACTATGCAATCTAACTTCTTGTCTTTGAAAGCGGTTAAAAAAGAAGCAAATAAATAAAATTTTCATAATTAAAAAATGTCTATATTATGTCTAAATATCCAGAAAATTGATTTAGATACATAAGTATACTATTATTAATATCTTCCTTACTTTTTCGTCTATTGTTTGTACGTAGGAGACGTAGGTATATTATTCTTTTACTCACTGGACATCCTTGACCCTCATCTTCGAAGGGCCCCGCACGGTGACGTCACTGTACGAGGACGTGACGGAGATAGGCCCGGCGGACTGCTGCACCGACAACGCTGGCACCATGAGCGGCTCGCACGGCGGCACACCGTACTCTGGCACCCCTAGAGTTAGTTCAAAATCAAAATCAAATCAAAATCAAAATTATCTTTACTTGTGTAGACTAATTAAATTAGTACTTACAATGAATTATGCTCTTAAGGAGCCTATACATGTCTTATTCTTTTTTGCCCTACCAGCGCTTCGAGACAAACATTTGGCAAGTGCTGAGAAGAAGCGCCGCAACAAACTCCTACCTCCTAGTTAGTTTTGCATGGCAATCGAAAAACACACTTAGTCTGCTCGTTTGCCTCCTATCACATAAAAAAAAGCCTCTTGATTGGGCCATTGTGTGTGATTTGTGTTTCCAATTCCAACCACCCCAGATCACCCCAGAAAGTAAGCAGCCTATCTAGGCCGGTACATGCCGGTAGGCCGGTAGCCCTAGGCAACCCTACCTGTAGCCTTCTTCAAGTAACAAAACTTCAACGACATGCAAGCGATTTAATTGCTGGAGTCACTTTTCGTATTCACGTGTTAATCGCCCGATTTTGTTTCAATTTCGTTTCTATGCGTATTCAATCGTTGCCTCCGCGGTAATCGGTATTACCTATTTTGAAGTTTGGTTCAGGTGATAAAACGTCAAATGACAAATGGCTAAGTTGCGATTCTATCATTAGGCCACTGTTATGTGTGTAACTTCAAGCTGTAGATCCAGACTACATAGGAGTCGCAGGCGGTGGGAACAATAGGGTACAGTGAACAGTCCCGTTCTTTGTGTAACTTAAAAATTCATAAATGGCACCTTGAAATGACATAAGCTGTCATTAATTGCTCAAGATTACCACGAATGCAATATCTGAATAGTTTACCTGTAGACAATCTTGGAATGTAGGTATTCAGGGCATCGCGTAGGCAGCGCCCCAAGGCTTTCTCCTCCCGCGGGCATATGAACCCTCCGACTATGGAAATAGAGACGCAATTAGAACAACATAAATAGTAATAAAACACAATGCCACATAGCTATGTAGAATTGCTAGGAACTAATCAAGTCAAGAATTATACAAAGTCATAGTATATGTTCACAGTAAACTAAAAAACACCCATCATGCATTTTGGCGCAATGTTTCAAGGCTCGGCTACTAAGCAAGAGGTCGCGGGTTCGATCCACGCACGATACATACATTTGTAGTTAGAAACATGTCTATATTTATTACTGAATAAAAACTTGAACTGAATGGAATCCTTATTATGAATGGTAGACGAAAAATAAGACTTCAACAAGTCCACAAATATAGAGGTTGAAAATGATACACTAATCGTGAGATCACTATCTCACTCGATTATTTCTAATCTATACAAGATTTAGAAAAGCTGTTTACTGATCCTGAAAATGCTTCACGAGCTCTATCAAACGGTATCAATAAATAGGTTACAGAGCAAAACTGGATTTATAAAAAAAATCAATGTTCCTAGCGTAGTTATAAAAAGTAAATCTATATCTATAAAAGCCACTGACTGACTCATTCACTCACCACGAAATCTCAGAAACTACAAGGTGCTACAAGTGCTAGGAGTCTCAGGATGGGAGTTCCTTTTAGAGCGTAGGTGCTCACTAAGACGGGATTTTGCAAAATTTAATCCCTAAGGGGGTAAAACGCTAGTCCTTAAATAATAAATCCTTATTAGTTCAAGTATTTAATACTTACAGTTTATTAAACCCTTCTCCAGCCCGCCGTAAGCGACGGAGATCGTGCCCAAAAACCAAATAAACCTCCACATCTTGCTTACACTTGTTTACTATGAATACTATTCTACTAGACATTTTTACTCATTAAATATCTTTTTGGACGTGATGATAGTATTTAATTCAATCTTCGTTATCATAGATCTTTGGATAAATCATTAGGCAATATTAGGTAATTGCGAAAACTCATGATGATGATAGAATTACGGAATCTGAGTTTAAATTCATTGGACGTAGTAGTCTGTGGAGAAAAAAAATTTTTTTTAGTAGTATTCAATTAAATTAATCTGGTTTATTAATAACTGAGAAAAGGTAGTGTGTAGTTATAGTTCATCTTATAGGTTTCAAATTAAATTAAAAACATTATCTACTATGAAAATTAATGGATCAAAGATCTCCAGAAGAAAACTGGCATGAGCTGGAAGATATTATCAGCAAGATTGATCTTTTCGTAGCGCTTATGTCCTACTGTTTATAATCATAAACTTTAACTTTAATACTTTGCTAATAAGAGCCACTTTGTGGACTAAATCACTTAAAATGCGTTACCAAACTGTACGCACTAATATAATGACAATGCAATCATGCGCATTACTTTTACACCTAACTGCAGTTTGTTGACCCAGTAAATCATGTACACGTTGCATTTTGAGCTCAATAGTGTTGAATGGAAAGTTCCAACTCGTGTAGCAATCGGTTTGTGTGGTAGTTTTGTAACTCTTGTAACCCAGTCTGGTCACAGGCCTACGGTTACGTTATGTAACGTGATTTGAGAATAATTAGGTAATAGATTTTTATGTTAAATAGCAGCCATTTATGGCTGTAAAATAGTTTTGAGTCTATAAAACCTACACGGTCCATTACTTTGTATCTAATTTTTAAATTTCGGAGGGAACCTTATGTTTTACCATCTATGACACAATAAAACATATATTAAAAATCACTTCAACCGTTTATTATTAAATAAATAAATATTAAAATTACATAACACCAATAAGTTACATTATTTTATACAAGAATGTTCAACATTTAATAACAATAAATAAAGTAGTTACCACTTTCTTCCACATTGGACTGAAAATTAGTAATAATGTTTACAATTACATTTAATAGCTACATATTATGTTGATTATATTCTATACTCAATACTCATTAACAACTTTTATACACTTCGTCAAAAACAAATAATATTAGTAGTAGAATCAATCCTTTTGGTTAAGCACCTATCAAAGAAGCAGCCTGTATAAGTAATCGGTTTTTGTATTTAAATGCACTAGGTTCAGCAGTGGACGTCCTGTGGCTAAATTATGATGCTAATGATTTAAATGCGTTTAAAATATCCTTAGTTCGGGAAGACCATTTCCGAGGGTATGTGCTTGAGGAACTTGTTGGCCACGTCTTCCAGCACCATCGCCAGAGAGGTCTCCACGGCTGGCTGGATCTCCTTGATGATATCCTCTGAGTGCATAGCAGCTATGTGGTCTGTTATCATCTCTGGAATAGATATAAATGTTATATACTAGGTACTTTTCTTATTCCTAATCCAATCTAGGAGTTCCTCTTTAAATATCTGTCACCTATCTCTACTAAAACCTAACAATTATTCACAGATGAATGAAGAATGTAACGTTCATTTTCCAAAATATATTTGTTTCGCAGTTTTATATTTCGAAGAATTTGGAATTGGGATACAATTAATGTTAAGTTGTATATCACTTCAGTTGGTGAGGTAGGTACGAGCATTAGCTTTGCACATTAAAGTTGACTTATTGATCTCCTTAGGGCATAGTAGGTGGTATTCATATTGTGAATAACGAACAGTCAACAGTAAGAATACGTCTATTACAACTACATAATGTCCTGCAGTATTTAGCTTGTGCGTAAAATTAATAAAAAAGAAGATCACATACCCATTTTGTCTGTCGTAGAATGCGCATCATCAAGGCTGGCCTTCAGATCGCCCAAGCAGCGCAGGTGTACCGTAGCATCCCTGATGACCATCCGCTTGTGGACCCGAGCACCCAAAGCTTCTAAAGCAGCTGTACATGTTGCTATAAAACAGAAGATGATTTGTAAAGAGCACTCGAGCAACTAAAACCTCTAAAAAAGGGATTAAAAATCGTCTATTTTAAGATTGATAAAGAACGATGAACCGATGACCTGAAATAAGTAGCCTGCAGTGGCTAAATAAAAAAAAGCTCATTTCCATCAGTAGACTGCCATTGGCTGAAACGATGACATCTGAGAATATACGGGAGATCCCTGACATCATTCAGTAATCCTGTATAAGTAATACAAGTTTTTAAGAGCTTCAGTTACTAAGCTATCTTCATTAGGTTCATGGACATGAATAATGCAGTGACCTACTTGTACAACGACCCTGAGCCTGATCATACGGTCATGTAATATTAAAGCCATTATTATCATGCATACTATTTAAAATACGCGTTCTCGCAATCCAACAACTTCCGTACCATGCTACTTGCATTCTAAAGCTATATTTTACATCAATTAGATAGGTAGGTAACATAACATTGTGTGTGTCCTCAGTTGCCTTAGCAATTACAAATGCGTACGCATACATTATTATGTGATTTACTATGTACAGATTGACCAAGCTGTAGAGTTTTTACTCTTATAAGATTCATTGATTTAGCCTTTTTCATCCCAGTTTATGCGTTTGAAGTGGACGAAAATTCTTTAGCTTAATGGAATTTTCCTAAACCTAGCTCAAGTGCCTTTGACATTATTACTTTCCCCCTACTTACTCACTAGTAAACTGGATTGTATTACTTACACTTGTGTGTATAATATGTAGTATCAGTAGTGAGTAACATGTTAAAATTGATGTCACGTTTGCGTCTAATCAGGTGTTCCTCAGGGAAGAATTCTGGGACCGATTTTGTTTTTAATATGCATCTACCGAAGTATAAAGCTAGAGCTTACGTAATTTGTGCATTTACGTCAATTAAAACATGAATCCTTATGGAAAATTTGTCCAAGTTTACTTACTGAAATTGGCTGAGAGTTTTCCAGTGGACTCCACTGGAAGCATCTGGAATTCGCCCAGCACCACGTAGTCGCCTGTCATCTCCAATCTCGGAAGACTTATGTTTGCGGTTACTCTGAGGTCTTCGGGGTATACGCTAAAATATAATTCATTAATTGCAGTAGAATTACTAGTTTTAAGTCCAATTTAACATTAATAGTAATCTTGAGACAAGTAAAAATTTGTTTAAGTACAGCAGGGTAGGTACAGCACATAACGTTATGAAAGCGAAACTAAGACACAAGACGTTTAATGTAATGAAAGATTATACTGAAGCACAGTAACAAACAATAATTGCACTAATATCACTGTATCTTGCGGACCCTTACTATGTACAAGGACATAATGACGGAAGCTTATAAAATGATGAAATACCAAGTGGAAGTTCTCGTAACTTACTCCAAATTATTGAAGGTGTAATTCGTCAGTCCCCTCAGCATGATATCGGACAGCCACGCGTCATATTTGAACTTGTTCTTCGGCATGTTGTGCTGCCGTAGCCTGATGCTGGGGACCTTCAGCGGTTCCAGAGCCTGGATGTTCAGGCTTGGAACCCCTTGCGCCAGCAGATGGCGCGCTTGCTCCGCCATGCGTTGGATGCACTCGGCTACATTCGGATCACTGTAGTGGCATGGTGTTGGTTTCCCTTTGGATGATGAGAACATTATGAGTACAAGAATCCTACTTCCTTACAATATAATTCTACTTCTTGCAAACAGTCTTATGATAATGTATTTGGTACCACATTTAAAGCAAACAATTGATTCTGATTTTAATTTTGATTCTATCTTATTCATTTCACTAAATAAATGTGAAAGTCTGTGAGGAGTCTCTTTCACACAAAGCTACTAAATGGATTTTTAATATTTAATTTTGTTTATAAATATTCATTAATATGATGATATTGTAAACTCACGTGTAGAAATACGAATTATATGACGGCGCAAGTGCACACTAATGTTAAATTACAATTTTATCAAGGCAACTTGATGGACAAGCCGTGTTTATTGGAATCTTCAAACTAAGTAGTTTTTCAATTTAATCAAATTAAAAATTTTACTTACCAACATTCTCCCCGCGCGTTGCATTATCAACTCTTCTCCCATACACTTCACTCACACAAATCCCAACAAATACAATTTTAATCGGCGTCCACATTTTGACTTACTCTATTTCACTCCGAACGAGTTATAAATGTAAAATAAAACATTATGCCTTTATAAAAGGGTTCAACTAGTATGTGCTGAATGCCATATGTGGATAGGTTATCCTCGGATCAGCCTTTGGTGCAGCCATAAAGTGTTTTAAACGCATTCTTAGGTGTTTTTCATTTAATGTGCGGAAAATGTTCTTCCAAGATTATTTACTGCCAGTATTTGTTTTGTAAATTGTTCGGTGAAGGAGATATTCAAAGGCATTATAGGAATAAAGGTGTGTTGAAGGCGCTGGATGCAGGCCGCTACCAACCGGGCGCGCCCGGGCGATGTGGAAATCGTTGGGGAAGGCCTACTTTATGTTCAGCAGTGGACGTCCTGTCCTGTGGCTGAAGATGATGACGAGGATAATTTTAGGAATCACTTGTCATTTCATTTTTAGCCAATATTGTTTTTAAAGTTTTTAAAACAGCGGCGCACATTTTGATCTTACTCGTATCTTATCTTATTTATCTGTTATGAAACATTGTTGGAAAAATTTTAGAAATTAAACTCGATTTAATTAAAAATACCTTTATTCTACACACCTTAGATTAATATGTACAAATATTAGTGAAGACAGGTACATAAATAATTATATCTTTGGTTACCAAACAAAACAAAGGTAAGGAAAAACATAAAATTACAATCACAATAATATTGACGAGTTTTCAAATTAATGAATTAATCATTCAACCATACCTAATTGTTATTTAAACAATAAAAAAGTATAAAAATAGAAAATTTCTAAACACTACAGTAGTATTTGTGTCTTAATACAAAATTATACAAACACTATATGAATAATACATAGTTAAAATACATTGATATTTCCTATTATTCCTATTGGTCAGATTGTTATTTTTCTTTTTGGTTAAGTATTGGATAACTTACCAATTTGCTCCAATGAGGGTTTTCGCGATTGAAAAATCTGCCAGATGGCAATACGTAGACGGGAGGTCCAAATGCTGCATGATTGGTGGACTTTAACATATCTGTCAATGTCATGTCAAAAATAACCAATCATGCAGCATTTGGACCTCGCGTCTACGTATTGCCATCTGGCGGATTTTTCATCCGCGAAAACCAAAGATAGGTATATTTTTAAACATACTTTTCTGAGTTCAAAATACGAATAGATTTTATTTTGTTTCAATAATACAGTCACTTTTCATATTAATTAACACAAGTAGATGAATGCCTTTAAAACTATAATTATATTTATTGTTATATTATTTATTATTTTGAAGTCTATACCAATACTTATAAGGTCTAATTTAGTCAACCAATACTTCATTAATAGGTATAGCTCCAAGTATCTTGTTGACAAACGCCTTGATGACCGCCGCGCTGGTCTCCTCGATTAGAGGGTTGAGGATGTCCAGCACTACTCCTGGACTCGCGTTGAAGAAGGTGGCTGCTGAGGCGGCTGTAAATAAAATAAAATAAAAATTAATTTGTGTTAAATCATCTCAATGTAGAAGCAAGGCAGTTTGCTTGATGATAGAATCATCTATGTTATACAGGTTGGAATTTCTAAATACTGTAGATAGAAAATTTTACTCAAAAAAAACGCATTTCTTTATTTTTGAAAAGAAATAGAACTGCGTTCAAAGATTTCCAAGCTTGCCACACACCCGGGAATCGACCGACTAAAATCTGTTAAAAACTACAACCTGTATTTTTATTGCACCGATTGTTAGGGTTAAGTAGGTATAAGGATGATATCTCTCAACAAACGTGACAAATCAAATAAAAGGAAAAACATGAAATCTTAAATTACCTATTTTAATTATTTACGAAAAAATTTATTTTATTAAATGGTTATAATTTATTCATTCGCGATGAATTCAATTTCATGATTTGTTCGCTACGTTTAAATCTACACGGATATTATAAAGTGGAAAGATTTGATAGTATTTTATAAATCCACAGTATTATCTAATTGACAGAATATATTTATTATACTAACTAACTAGACCGGAATCCAAAGATTAAGAAATCAATGATACAATCGTGAAAAACAAACGGTTGAAATGCTATTATTTATAGTTTGTTAGTAGGACTCATTGGTATGTATTTTACTATCATAATAACACAAGCACATTCAAATGTAATGTGATTTCAAATGGTTTATTTACCATGAAGTAGCAGCAAACAATACCATATAAAAATTTGATTACCTACGTGAATAAAATATCATGAGAAATATTATTGTCTTGGAAGACAACATAAAATATAAAACTACACGTGTCAATATATTCGTACCAAAATTAATTTAGCCATAAATATTTCATTAAAAAACTAATTCTTTGTCTAAACAGTTTCTGGATTTACTAAATATGGAAATTCTCAATTCACGGGGAAAACTAATTTATAAAGAAAGAAAGAAAGAATAATTTATTTGGCACATAAAAAAAGAAACAATAAATCAGCACAATAAAATGGAAATAAAAAAATTAAAAAAACATTAATTCATCTTTCAAAATAATGGTTCTATCAAACCTTTCCGTATTGAGAATCACTACCTATGGAAGCGATCAAGACAAATAATGATAGTACTAGTTGTGATGAAATTAAGTACCTAAGTTAATTCCTACTAAGTTTAATAACTCAATTCAAAACCTCAGTTCTAACGCCAAGCCTTAGCAACCGTGAACGTGTCATAGTTTTTTTTGTAACGCGTAACACCTATTGCAGTATTTCGGTCTTGGTCGAGAGTACAGATTTGATAACAATCAATTTTGTAACGCCCTGTAATCACTGCTTAATTCTTGATCATAACAACTCAACAGTAATTCTGGCCACCTTAAATTACGTCAGAATGACGCGTTCCAAATAATAGAATAAATTATCAAAATTTGTTACATACGGTCGCTGCAGGCTATGTATAGTTACCAGCACAGACTATCTACATTTTCGTTACAAAATTGCACCTAATGTGTCATTTGTATTTACATGACGTGCCGTCGTTCGTACACTAATAACATACGAGTAAATAATTATGGGAAAATTCCGTTGTTTTTCGACATTGGTAAAACAAAACCATATAACCAAACAATAATTTGATTAGTTCAAGTACAAAGAAAAAAAAAGTTTTTTTTTTCAGCCGTGCTCCATATCCTTCATACTTCTACCAGGGGAAAGAACAAATATAGCAACAAAAAGATGCAACACATTGCCACAGAATATTAGCTATTATAATAAAGGTAATCTTAAACAAAGCAAATCACCATATTAATGTCTTTTTCGAATGAGTTATCAAATTACCGCGCATAATTTGTTGGTTTGTCTATGGTCTGTAGATTCTTGACGAAATGCGTACGATTACGCGAGTAGACCAAGGCGTAAATTATAGTGAGAATAAGATTGTAATGTGTAAATCATCTGTGGTTGAGGATTGTAAGCTCGCTTCCACCTTCGGTCTAATCATCACTTTCTATCAGGCGCAACCACAACGAGGAAGCCCTCGATGTGGATTAAAAAGATTACTTACCAGCGACAGGCCGTTCCGTGTCATCGAATGCCACCTGACCATGGTTGATCTTCACCCTGGTGACCACCTTCTCTGCCTGAAGGTACTCTACTCCGTCTTTCTCGACCGGCTTACCGATCCCCTTGGCCACGACGGTAATGCCAGCTGAAAGAATAGAAACATGATAGTTTAAAATCTTTCCGTAAAACTCAATTAAAAGCTCATCATTACAAAACTGCCCTAAAACCAAACTTAGCATAATTATTATGGCTCTATTAATACAGGTAAATAACAAACAATCATTTATTGTATAAGTTAAAGGTAATACAAGAACACAGATCTTAAATGTTTACATACAACCGCTATAACCTGCCGATTGGGCGCGTACAATATTATAACAACAATCAAAACTATTCTGACTTATCGTGTAAAACTTTCAGGAGGCCTTGAGATTAGGAAATTCTTTATGTATCTGAAATCGTTACCAATTTGTTTGCAACATTGACCTTGAGTTTTACCCGCTTTGGCTGGGTTACTGCCTTTTTTTAACGCTTGTCTTATGATAAGGTAAAGGCACGCTCCCGGGATTTCCCATTTCCAAAAATCTCGGGTCCCGGTTCTGAGATGATCAGACAGCACCGGTACTAGACGGACATAGTCCCGGGAATTCCGGTTCTTTTTGAACTCAGTACCGGAAATCAAAAATCGAAGAACTGGACGGGTCCAGGGGCATCCAGAACCGGGGTTCTGCATACCCCTAGCCAGAATCCATAGTCGTTCATATTATACCTACTGCAATAACCTCAGGACTGCTAGAGCTAGAAAAAATATGCGTAAGTACAAGTAACTTACTGAAGTTTCCTCTCAGTTTTCCTTTCCCGCTGATGTCAAGTGTCAGCAGGCGGGACCCTCGCACGTCGTAGTCAGCAATCACTGCCAACTTAGGCAGCACAATCTTGATTTCTGCTGCGTACTTGTTGTTCAGGTTCAACCTGGAAGAAGATAAATAGAATGTGGTCAGAATTATATCAAATTGCTAAAACGGTTCTAAGGTTAACAGCCCAACTCACTCCAAGAGTTCCTAGAGTAAGGTAGAATGTAACTAGGTTCACATTTGTAGAATGTAACTAGGTTCACATTTCCCATTAATCAAAATATTCTAAAATATTGTCGCAAAAAAAAATCTTGTCGATCTGGGTTCTGTTAGAGTAGGCGCACACCGTTGATTTTTCGTCGGCCGATAGTTTAGTCGGGCAGTTGATCAGTATGGGCATGTATGGGAGTGCGCACACTACGTCGATTCGATTTGGCCGATTCCTCATACAAATTAAAATCGGGCACAACAGTCGGCCAACTAAAAATCAACGGTGAGCGCCTACTCTTAATGTTCATTTAGGATCTACTGAAAGAACAAGAATAATTCTAATTTTTCCAGAGATAAATGGAGGACTGGGCTTACACTCCCCACGCGCTGGCCGGATGAGAGAAATTCTTTATTGCTCCATGTTGGTACACAAAGGTTCTTAGTTAATAAACATAGTCCAGTAACATGAACCCGATGAAACCCAACATGATATTAATTACCACTTCTAATACAATATCTAATAAATATTACAATTTAAATAATAATAACAGAGATACGAATTCATATAATTACATAATTATTTCAATAACAACAATGATGATGAGAGATAAGGTTTTTTCAGATTTAAATTGAAAACTGCAGCACATAATTATGGTGATAATCGCCTATGTCGGTGTCGGATTCCCAATTCGAGATCTGAGGAATCCATCCCTGAGCTGAACTATTGTGGTTTAACCCACTCCTAACACAATCATTTAGCCTGAATAACGGGAATAATTTATTTATTTAACGGGAATAATTTTAATCCCGTTATTTATGACACATCCTGTATAATGAGCATTCACAATCTTACCTTAGCTTTTCGATGACAAAGTTAGTTCCTCCGAAAGCCTTAGCGTGTTTCACCGTGGCCTTCAATCTAAGATTGGGGGCTGTCTTGTCCAGCCTAAGAGTGGGCACTGTGAAGGGGTCCAGGGCTGGGACGTTCACCTCTGGGATCCCAGTCTTCAGGCGAGGCTTGATGGCTTCTATCGCGTCCAGGACGCATTTCTCGATCTGTGGGTCGCTTCTTTTGCATTGAGGGAAGTAGTCCGCTGTAACATGTAAATGATTTTCATTAAAGCGAGCTGCACTGCTGTACTGCATCTAGCAGTACTCGTAGTTGCTCGCTTCTGAAATATATTGCGGTATTGGTTAACTAATTATTAACTCATTAACTAATTAGTAAAACTGTAAGTCCACAGTGAATTATATAAATAAATAAACTGGTTACTAATTCTTGAAATTCACGGTTTCGGTAATGTAAGCAGAAAGCAGGAGAGTAACTTGAATTGAGAGGAGGGTTTACGACTTACTTAATCAAATCGACCGTATTTAGTGTATGATTGGTTTCATATTAAATTCTGTCAATTACTCGTACAGTACAATATGCCCAAGTTCGGATCAGACATTGGGAGTCATTTTAGAATGAGTTTTTATTCTAAGGAGCTTATTCTTCTTGTGCAATAAATATTCGTTTATAAAAAAACTGTTTCTCGATATCACTATCTATATTTCCGTTACTTTAAATAGTGTCAGAGATCGTAAGTGTCCAAATCCTTACTTGGCAATAAGGACGGAAATGCCTTGAGCCAGATGCATTTCCTCTGCGGTAATGCTATGTCTACTGACATGCGTAATATACTTCCACACAGTACAAGTTGGAAATTACATGTGTTCAAATGTCACGCATGGAAAGGTTGCCTAATTAATAGATTTGTGGTCTTAAGGCTTCATCATCATCAACATCATCATTTCAGCCATAGGACGTCCACTGCTGAACATAGGCCTCCCCCAATGCTTTCCATGTTGATCGATTGGTAGCGGCCTGCGTCCAGCGCTTCCCTGCTACCTTTACGATGTCGTCGGTCCACCTTGTAGGCTTAAGGCTTATTAAGGCTTATTTATACGTATTAAGTATATACGAGTATATAAGTAGGTAAGTAAATTTTAACTTAATTTAAAATCAGTCTTACGGCGAGGGGATTTTGTCCAATCCGGCAAGTCAAAATAATCGAAGAAGTGTTTATTTCAAATGTTTTAATAAATATTATTCCTTTTTATTTATTATTTAATTATCAGTTAATTTTAGATTGTAGTAGTTTCCATGTATAAAAGAAAAGTCCCTTCTTTCTTTCCGCCATGACTAGGTATTAGTTTGAAAATGTGAGGAAAACAAAAGAATATGCAAGCATTTACTTTTAATGAAAATCTCTGACTCCACTGTTACAATGGCATTACATTACAAGGCAGCCCAGTTAGCACAGTATATTCCAGTTAATTATTTAAATCTTGAAACAGGTTGATCTTGAAACTTAAACTTATTTTTGTGTAACTAGGTTCTTTTACCTCTCGAAAATAACCATAATAATGTCATTGTTTTGGCTACCGGATCAAAATTGCAATTACCTAAACATTGTAGTTGATACTGTATTTATATCTTTCTACCATCATAGGTCATTAAAACAATCCCTAAATGTTTTGTTAAGTCAAAGCTCGATGCAAAACCCAAGAAGAGGAAAATTCAAAAAAAATATGTAGGTAAATACTCGTAAGGTATGTTTATATCAGTTGTCAGTACAAGCTTTGCCTAGTTTGGGACTAGAGGCGCAGTATAAAATGTCCAAGGATATTTAATTATTATTTATTTACAATAACGAGCTTTCGGGTCCGTCAGTAGCTAAACAAATTTCATGGCAATTAAAATTATGCGCTTATTACACAAGTCTTACCAAATTGACATAACGAATTACATTGAATGCCTTGAGCCTGATCACCTGATCAGCGATTAGGTCAAATATTCTCTACCGAATTAGGACCAGCTAGGTTTTGAAAGGAAACAGCCTTGGCACTTAAATTTAGACTGCGTTGGGTCAATGGTTCTTTAAGAAAGTAAGCGGTGGTTTAATGAATATAATCTTGGTATTGAATACATAATGCATAACGCCTCCGTGGCTTAGGCCCAGTTTTTTGATTCGTAGTTAAAATAACCAATACTCAAATTTGACAGATGTCAAATGACAAGTGGTTAAATATCAGAAAAAAATGATTTTCGAACAATGGTTAGCTTGACTTTCTAACCATTAGTTTACATTTTGTTAATATTTAACCATTATTAGCAAAATTTAACAATTATTTATTTTAACTATGAATCAAAAAACTGGGCCTTAGTGGTTAAATTGGACTTGCACAATCGGGATTCGAAGTTGTTAATTTTGACTTTGGAGTTCGAATCGCAAACAAAACCAGACAGCCTGATGAGCACGAGTAATGTACCTATATATTTGTAAATATATTATAGTATTATATTTAATTACAGAACATATTATAATAAGGCTTTATAGTATAGTAAATAGATTGCGATCGAGTTATACCTAGAGTAGGACCGGTTATATTGGAAATCCTTGGGGGAAGCCTTTGTCCAGCAGTGGACGATTGGTGACGCAGCAGGTGACGAATGGATCGATTGCTTGATGCTAGCGAGTCGCGCTTGTCCGAACGGTCACCGGTTCGAATCCGTTTTTGCTTTGACCAATATCATGCGGATATTAAATAAAAATTAAATAAATAAGTATCCTTGGACATTTAACACTGCGCCGCTAGCCCCAAACTAAGCGTGTACTATGGTTGATTAGATTATTTAGTATCTGAGATTTAGGCCTTGGTAATTATCAATCTTTAAAAAAAGAATAATTAAAAAGCCTTAGCCAAAACATATCACATTACATAACTCTACAGATTACAAGGTATTCATAGCTTAGTACATTATTTTCGTCTTCACATACATAGTAGAAAAAACACGTGACCAAAGAGTCAGTGACCTAATGATTGCACCCTATCTATCGTCTTTCACAAGCTATTTTTTCATCTACAAATATTATCGAAATTAAAATAATTTATAAATGATAGAGATTTGTTTCCTATCATAAATGTTAGGCATTGACATAATTTAAATTTGATTCACTCGTTAGACACTTTGTTTATGTATTTGATTACTCTTAACTAACATCGTTTTAGAGCTGCTTTTTCAATCGTCTGATAACTTTTATCTGCAGAAGAATTTTGGAATATTGATAAAGCATAGAAAATTATGTCCAATGAAAATTTTTTTCTTCAGTCAAAAGGTATCAGACGATTGAAAGATTGGACCTTAATAATTAAAAACTTACGTGTGACTTTTCCCAAAGCACCCACAACACAGACACAAACGAAAATCACTTTCGTTATCATTTTATCACAACAGTTTACCGCGTACCGAGCGACCGGCGTAGAGTGTGCGCCGGCGCCGAAATTCACGACTTTTGTATGGAGGGAACGGGCGCACGCGTTGAGCAAGCAGGATGCAGTTTGACACGGAGATTATATGGTGCTTTTTTGAGAGATGAGGAAAAATATTTGATTATATTTACACTAGACATATTTAGTCTGAAATATTATCATCATCTGAGGTGGAATTGTGTAAAGCAATCGTAATCATTTGACAGTTCATAACGTACGATTATTCTGTCAAACGCTATGTTTAAATCTGAATTTATCGTACGTTACTGTCAAATGATTACGATTGTTTTACACAATTCCAACTCTGGTAATTTATGTTAGGTTGCACCATCTTACTTTAACTCTGACAAACGTCAAAAATCTGTCAAACTCCATACAAAAAACACCGATAATCGTTGAAGTTGCGGTTAAAGTTAGGTGGTGCAACTCAGCCTTAGTCTTCAACACAGGAACACGACTCTCTCTAAGAAAAATATTTGTAGGTTTTTTTACCTGTTTACACTAGATAATATCTTAATCATCATCAGGTCATTTAGTATCCACTACAGGAGCACTACCCTCTCTAACCGTTAACCCTGGTCTTCCTAATATAAATAAATAAATAAATAAATAATGCCAGAGGCAATGGAAGACTTGGCCTACACTCCCCAATGGGGATTTGCCAGATAGGGGTTGGAAAACTGAAATATGCAGTTGTTTAAATGCATCTAGATTATACATAATAATTACTTATAAGTTATAGAGCACTTGAAAAACTGTCACTGTGAAACTATAAACCTACTAATGATACTGTTACAGTCTTGCACTTATACCAAAATATGTGGCATAGGGCAAGGGTATCACAGCTATGGGATGTATGACATAATTTCTGTCTTAAACCCATGATAAAAAGTGGTTCATCTAATTAAGTTTTAAGAACAGTCTTATTTCTTGTTCGTCTTCTATAAAACATGCCAAATAAGTAGATCTCGAGTAATGACTCTTCCTTGATATTTGATTCTCCTTTTAGTTTCAGGACCCTAAAAAACTCAAATTGCTCACAAGAGGAACTTTCACTGTTATCTTTACAATTGAATAACAATCAGATCTCATAACGATAAGGAAGTAAAATAAGGAAACAAAACCAAACGTTATGAGCAAAATTTTATTACACATTATTCCGTTGCTAACCTTCGCTTATTATGTGGAACATATTCAGATGAAAAAAACCTTCTAGTGTACCTTAACATTGATATTAATCCTTCCATCTGGCCTTGTATGTTGTTTTTAAAACATTACCTAACTGCATTGGTGGATTTACATCCTTTGCTATACGAAGATATACATAACGTATACAGAAAAAAAGACAGAAATAGCATTATGTGCTGTGCATTACAAGGAAATAAAAAGTGAACTGAGCAGTGCTATATCCTGTAGCAACAGCGATGCCCATCACAATGGGACTCCACTCAGCATATGCCGTGGCCCACGGTGGGGAAGGCCACGACGCTGGTTTTCAGTGGGCCCCATGCCGAGTGGAAGTCACGGACACTAACCTAAACTGCACTGCAATAATGTGCACAACTAGACACTCCCACAATTGTAATTTTTACCTACATATCATTGTTAATTGTTGTCACATGTGCAATTAATAACCGCACAATTCAATTGTTTCAGTGATATTAGTTAGTCATCTACCTTCCAAACTTCAAGGTCTTGTATATGTAAAATATATAGTGAACTTTAACATTGCTATTGTCATTTTGACTCATAATATGAATAACTTAAAAACCCTTGTTCACTCTCTACAAGTGCATGTCTCTTTGTTAAAAATAAATGTTATAATAGATTATTGTATTTTCATATGAAACGATCGCTGTTTCATGCGGGAAGCATGGAAAATTTAAAATATCTTGGTAATAATATTTTTTCCAATGAAATATCATGTTTTTTTTGCCTCAAACATCCGTAAATCCCAAGAAAAATCATGTTGTAATATTTTTTTATTCTACAGTTTTCAATATTGGTAGGTAGCTACTAATAATAGCGATACCAAGACATGCTCATCAAAGATACTAAATGTGTACAATCGATAGATTTTAAATAATACCGTGATCTTTACGAAAATGAATTAAAAAGGCTGTGTTAAAACTGTTCGTTCACTGATATTAACAGTCAATAGCTTAACATAAAAACCAATTTCTCCGGTGCCTCTGTCTGTCTGTTTGCTCAAAAAATGAACGAATTTTCATTTTGTTCACACAAAAGATTGAGTGATTTGTGAGGAAAGCGTAAGTGTCATAGGTACGAGTATCATTTGTCAAGGAGACAAACATAGGCTAGTTTTTATCCCGGCTTTTCCCGGGTCCGTAATAGGTATAACAATTTTCACGCGTACGAAGCCGCTGGCATTTGCTAGTTACTAACTATAAGTGATAAATTACATCTTAACTCGGACCGCTGCAAACTAGTCCATTGAGCGCCGAGCGCTGTGCCCGAAGCACGAACAAACATCGTTTTCTTTATAGTATCGTAATTTTATTACGAACAATATTACGAGAGTCTTTCGTGCTTAGAGCACTGATTATAAAATAAGTAACGCGACCGCTGCAGTTTCCTGACCCGTTGCATAAAAATACTCTGCGGCGAGTTGCGCAAACGCAGTTATCTCATAGTAAACAAACCGAACTAATTGTGACGTAAGCAAGCTGCGTTTCGGACGCTCTTAGGGAGACTGTAATGAAGTAATTCACTGTAGAGTCTTCTACATTATTTTCAAGAATATTATCGTGGAACACAATTATATATAGGTATTCCCTTTAACCCCTCCAGCTGTGCTAAATATATGCTTGGACTTATACTCGTAGATCGTTTTATCCACGAAGACGCGCCCCACCATTCTTCTGCTGTTTGAGTGTTATCGGTACACGCTAAGTTATCCATGAGTGCACAGTAAACGCACACTACAATAATGACGCTCAGATTGCTCGGAACAAATTACCCGAACCCCGCGCTTCCCTCTACCAAAAATTGTTGGGGCGCGTCCTCATGGATGAAACGAAATTCAATAGATGACAGGGCTCGAACTATCACCGTAAAAATGTGAGAATTTAAGTGCAATTATTTTCAGGTAAGTATTATTCTGCTTTAAAAATTATGTCGAGTTTTAGTTGTGTTTTTAATAAGTATCACAATGATTTACTACGATTATCCTTTTTGCAACACAATGCATGTTTCAGAATAGTTATCTCTAATGAGCGGTTTTGAAATGTGTACTTGAATGTAATGTTTCTAGTGAATGAGAGGTTTGTATGAAACCTTGATCAAATCAAAAATTACAAAAAATTATACCATTCGCACTGTAATAAACAAAAGTAGGTCTTAGAGCATACCCTTCGTTGGTCTACATTATGGGCATGATTCTATGATAAAAACACAAATCTGTATTGTATGATTAAATAATTATTGTACCGCCTATTGAATTCTAATTATATTATTATTTTATTCCATTTATTAACTTCCATACATCGGCAATAAGCGTGTAGCAATTCGTAGGAAAAATCGTAGCATCGTCTCGTAGCATCCTCGTCCCGTAGGACTAAGCTACGGCGCGCTACGAAAATTATAGCCCTGAAATTATAAGTTTTGCAACGTCTTAAAATATGAGTTTTATAAAGTAAGAAATTATTTATTTATTTATTTATTTGTAGTAAATAGTAAGTAACTTAAATAAAAATACTTCTAACAATCGTCTTTCTTTTAAGTGCATCCAAGGTTTTATTATAAGAATCGATATTATAATAACACCATCTAGAGGCAAAGCTGAAAACTACACTCTAAACAACAAATAAGTGATTCTCAATGGCGCAATTGACCTTACAGGGAAATCACTATTACAGTTCTACTAAATTCTAATAGATGGCGATGCTATTATAACAAGAATGTAAATAAGATCAATTTTCCACATTACATTGGCACAAATAAACCCCAGAGGGTTGATTGACATATATATTTTATGCTACACGTTATATAAGATATTCATAATATTAATAACATTGCGGCATCATTTCTTCTGTACGAGATTTTGCCCATTTAATATACGTAGTAGGAATGTAGTACTTATTATTATTCTGTGGAAGTATCTTCGTTTTCGATTTTGGAACGCTCAAATTTTGACGTTTGTTTTTACAAACTTTATGTAAGAGTAGGCGCACACCGTTGATTTGTCGGCCGATATTTTAGTCGGGCAGCTGATCAGTATGGGCATGTATGGGAGTGCGCACACTACGCCGATTCGATTTGGCCGATTCTTCATACAATTTAAAATCACGCCCATACTGATCAACTGCCCGACTAAACTATCGGCCGACGAAAAATCAACGGTGTGCGCCTACTCTAACTCATCATCTCGTTCCATTGTTTTAGCCAAAATATGCCCACTGAACAAATGTATCCCCCACGGAACTTCATTTTATGAGTTCTCTCATCTTATACTATCATACTTATATTATATTATTTACATATAAAAATAAAACAAAATATTTGTAGAAAAAATTTAATTGTCTTTTTATCTTACACGACACCTTAAATTACATAGGCTCTAAACCCATAGACCCTCAAAATTTACACTTATGTTTCAGTCACATTTAATTTCACTATTTGTAATGTTTGTTTTAACAAATGAAAATTATGAATCTCGGTCAGCTGGTTTCTGTGAATTTAAAGCATCTACTAAAATAGTATTTACAAACCTTAGAGTATTGAAAATCAAGATTCAATCCAATGAAGTAATTCAAGTAAGTCATATTATTTGGTATTAAAAAAAGTATAAAATAATTGTAAATCCAGATCAGCTAAATTCTAACAAAACGTAAATTAAAATGAGCATTTTTACAGATCACAATTTTAATAATTTGTGATTTAATAATCATTTACAATTTTGATACTTTTTACTCAATTTATATTTCTACTAAACTTTTATTATTTCTACTTGATTGGAAAAGCTATTCTGGATCCTAAAAGATGGAAATTTCCAAAGAAAATACACGGTGTTAGAATTTACCTAAGCGTAAAATAGAAAAGTATCATGTTGTCCTATTACCCCTTCTACTATTTGCTATGTAACACATTATTTACTTTGCCAATATCTCATAAAATATATGAAACATCAGAAATAAAGTAGTTAAATATGCAAAAGTGTTGCACTCAAATTTTTAGACTTTAAAATTATTAAAAAAAAGAGTAAGGTAAAGTGATTTGTAATTTATACTTATAATAATAAGAGACTCTAAAGCTGAAGACATTATTATTAATAATTAACTTTTTACGCATAAAAAAGTATAAAAACTTACGAACTAAACTATCATAATTCATACAATTAAGTCTTAACTCCTTCAAGAATGACAATCCCGTGTAAAAAATACTATCACATTTCGGTTGATCTAAAGACCTAACGTGTACTATCTTATAATTAGCATCAAAATCACAAGAGATGTTATAAACTAGAATGCCTTCGATCACGGGAACAGTTCTTTGTATGTAAACTTGGATGTTATTTTGTTTGCCATTTCTGTGAAGAGCTCCCCAAGGCTGCGTTCTAGGACCGGACTTATTTCTTGTAGGAAGACGTTGGAATTTTCGTTGATTACTCGGTTGGTGGCAGGCCCGAGCACTGGATCGCCGTCGAAGAGGTTGGTGAGCCAGATTGAGGATTGACCAACACGCAGCTTGACCCTGAAGGGGTCGAACTGGAGATATTCTTCTTCTCCTCTCATTTCCTTGTGCCCTCTCATGGTGACGTTACACGCGTAGTCCTCTGGAATTTGACAAAGTAAATATGTAGTTATATTCTTTAATTAATTAAGTTAATCGTATTAATTTGACTGTATATTTGACGTCTCTGCAAAAAATATCGTGCCAAGTATTCAGGTCTATTTATTATAACATAATATGACCGGTATTTCTTAGAAAATATAGACTCGGCTCATGGAGTTAAATCTCTATGGTAAAACCTTTATGGTTTGATATGCGGTTGCCTATATTTTCTGCCTGCCTGTAACCTACCTGCGCCTATTTTAAATGTGTTTGTATTCACGAAAGTTGAGTACCTTATTAGGTAAACATTTAATAAATATAATTGCACAACATATTTTTTCCATTATGTGCTAGTGAGAATCATCACTTGGAGATTACTTTACATCTACGACTATTATAGGTACATTCTCCCCTTTTCCCTCCCTCTTTTTGTCCTCTTGCAGCAACAAGCCATATTAATGAGCAATATTCCTCGCTTACATAAGCGGCGGCCCAGTACCGATGTGTTGACCGCGATGTCGTCAATATGAAGCCATCTACCGAAACTAGGGCTGCTAAACGTATTATTCTTGCCATTTCTCGAAATATTTAACTTTCCCCCGGGACAAAATTAGCCTTTATTGATTGGGTTCTAAATGGCGGTTATACCGTAAATCCTGGCTATGAAGAACTTGCGGTGGAAACGAGAGGTGGGAATAGTCCCAAATATCTCCTGCAGCTTCTAAAAGTTAACGTAAGTTGTAAGGTAAGTTGTAGACCCTTAACTTTGAACTGATTTGGGAACGGGGTGTTAAAAAATACAGCAGAATTCCTGAAATTATACATTCGGCACTTTCACGATACGTTTTCCGGGTAGAAGATTACGTGGTATTTAGCTTCGTGATAGTTAAATACAAGATTATGGCCTTATTACAAAAAAGTGGAACGCGCGTTGAACAGTCTTGTACATTATAATGTTCACCACGTAAAATAAGAAAACAAGAGATACACAAAAAAGAGAGAGAAGGCACAATTTAGTGTTTTCACTATAAAGTGATAAATATTTACACCCATTATAAGATATAATATGAAATGGCTTGTAGAGCCCAACATCAAGACTGGATCTTTGTATGTTTATGTATTTTTGGTAGCCCTATGTGAGTCATGCGCAACGCGGAATGCATTGGTTTGCGGTAAATCACTTGACTCTACATTTCACGTGTTTGTTCTGGTTTACGCCATTGGATTCATCAATGTATAGTTTTAAATATAATTGAGCTGGCGCGTATTCAAATAAGAATAAAATTACGTCTACGATACACAACGTTAACATAACATTATGTATTTATCTTCTTCCATAGTGAGCTATAAGGTCACAACCTTAGTGTCTAAATAAGTAAACCCCCATGGAGGTATTTTAAGCAGGGAATCATAGGTATATTTATCGGACATTCAAGTCAATTAAATCTCACCAAACGAAGACATAAGTAATAATTGTACTTTTCATATTTGTGTCCCACTTGGAATTGAACCTTCCGTCGAGGGACGCTCTCTTAACACTGAACTTCGGGGATATGCTTTTATTTCAACATCTATCTAAACGGTTTCAATAAATCCAAAAAAATAAAGAAATATAGCTTTCTTCTTCTTTTCAGCCAAATGCAGTCCACTGCTGGACAAAGGCCTCTCCCCCAAGGATTTCCACAAAGACCGGTCCCTCGCCATCCGCATCCAGGCACCTCCCGCGACCTTCACCAGATCGTCTGTCCATCTAGTCATAAATTTACCGGTAATTTTTTAGAATAAGTATTATTAAGTATACTAACTGAAGGTGCCAGTGATGTTCCCTCTGCCCTGAAGCCGTAAGAGCAGCACCTGGATATCCATCTTGTATTTCCCGGTGAAGTCCAGTTTGGGCAGTAGCAATTTGAAATCAAATCGGTTTTTATCCAGGTCAGACCTGAAAATTACAAAAAAATATTCTGAGGAAGTTTTTCTGCAAAAATGCGAACAGTGATCGTAGCTACTCGTAGTTAGGGTTACTATTTATTTTTTACTTTGATAAATAAATTCTTTGGACTAGATCAATGACTGGTAGGTACAGTATCATCACGTTGTTTACGAACGTGACTTAACTTCTTAGTTATAGTAGGGACGATAATAGCTCATCGAGCTCAAAACTGTGGAGTCCTATCTCTTTGTAATAGAGCCTATTTTTCAACAAAAATGTAGAGTCTGATGTGCTGTCGACTTAGGCTGAGTCCGCACTGCGGCTAAACCGCCGCGGTTTTTAACCGCTTTATTTTATAACCAAGTAAAATTAATGCAAGCCTCCGCACTGCGGCTTTTTCCCGCGTATACGTTTCGAGCGGTCTCGCGATTCGGCGGTTTACCGCTTGCGGGAAAAAACCGTAGTGCGGACTCAGCCTTAGTGTCGTCTATGATTCCACAATGATCCATTAAAATAGGTCTTGTCAATCCACCCACGTAGATTTTACTTAACATTCGGGCAGCATCCTCATCTGGATTCATGGCAACGTGTTCATGAAGGCTGCGTGTGGCAAACATGGATAATACAGGTGCTATTAAAGTAGTATTTACATCTCTTTGAATAAAAGCATTAGCAAAGTTTTAGATTATAAAGCATGATGTGTAGATTCATGCATGAACTATACTCATAGTAATTCCTTTGTTTTCTATATTGTGCTTCCTACTATCCTGAATGATTGCGGTTTATAAGCTCATCATTATTTTGGATGAAGAAATTCTTTACAGTTTGGCCGCCATTGAAACACTATTAATGAAGATTAAGTAATCTCGGTAAAGAGTTGACTATCCTGGAAACAACTACTACAACCCGGTCATGTTAACTGCGCACCAGGCAGCCGTGACGTCACATCGCCGCTCTGGTACGGAAAGGGGCGAACGCGGGTAAGTACGAGGGACAGTCGCATTCCAACTGCTCAATTAGCTCGATCGGGTTGTAATTCAATCAGATGAAAAATTCGGAAGATAAATAACAGATAAGGTAAACCTTAGAATGCGATATGATCATATCCAGCTCCATGAGACCCTGGGAAAAAGCAAAGGCTTACTTACTTTAGCTTTAGCTCGCAGAATTGCTAAAATCAAGTGGCAGTGGGCGGGGCACATAGCTCGTAGAGACGATGGCCGTTGGGGCAGAAAAGTTCTCGAGTGCACCGCGACCGCGGGCCGGAAGACGTAGCGTGGGCAGGCCTCCCACTAGGTGGACCGACGATCTGGTGAAGGTCGCAGAGCCTGGATGCGGGCAGCGCAGTACCGGTCATTATGGAAATCCTAGGGGGAGGCCTTTGTCCAGCAGTGGACGTCATTTGGCTGAAACGAACGAACAAACTTACTTTAGTTCCTCAATGATGAAGTTGCTAGGTCCCCGAACTTTGACGTCGTTGACCACAGCCGTCAGCTTGGCGCCTTGAGGCCCACGCGCCAGCGCGATCTGACCCAGGCTAAGCGGCTCCAGCCCTGGCACATCCAGCTCCGGGATACCCTGGAAGGCATTAAGGTTGACGTTAATAAGGCATAAAAATTTTGAGATCTGGATTTTTATAACAAAAAAAACTCATAAAACTCATTTATTTCTGCAAATAGGCTTTTAAAAAGCACTTTTACACGTCCCAATATTAATCCTACCACTGCTTAACGTTTTTATTAATTTATCAAACGATTCTTGAACGTACTGTTGTGATGGTGCTTGTGTTCAAATTGAACCAACTGTTTAATAAATCATAAAGAAACAGTAATCTACCTCGATATTTTTTGCGGACAAATTATATTTTGCTTCGGAATCACTATTAAACAATTACATACAGTACAATAAGTAAACGATGTACTTAGTTGTTACTATTAAATTGACTTCGTCAAAAAATTCCTAAAGCATTAGGTTCAGAAATCACATAGTTCACATATGCTCACTAGTAACCAGTTTTATGGTTTAAGGATTAGCATTTAGATACTGTGGCGTTAGATAGTTAACATTTAAACAACCTTCGCGTTCGTTCAGCATCTGCAAACTTCTGAACTGCAATCTTTAAGTAGTGTTAGTAAAATCTATTTATTATGTTTGGGAAATGTTGGGATATAAGGTTTTATTTGATAAATCAGATTGCAAAACCATCATCATTCTACGAGAAATCTTTTAAGAAACTTCATACTATGAGATGTTAATTATTCTAAATCAACGAACGAACATACCTACATTTATTACTGGAATACATTTAAAAAAATGGAGAATTTAACTAGTCTAAATATTAGACTTTTTACGCAGGTTAACAAGTTTGTCGCTGTACCTACTCATACTTTTTTTGATTAAAATCTCACGGAATTTCATATGATAACAAGTCAAGGCATTATTTACTCACCAAAGTTTAAAAACCAATATTAATATAATCAATGAGCATAAGAATTATGTTATGATTAAATTGACAATTATAACCGCGTTATTTTTTATGTTTATTTTTAAATGTATTTACATTTATGAGTTCAGTGAACTACCTAATACCGATCTCTATTATTTATTAGGGTTAGTTTCAAGTTTTGGCAGTGTCAATGTCACGTTCACGTGAATCAATGACATTATATTTTTCACCAAGGCTGTGATCTTCTCCAATACACATGAAACACTTTGATTCCTATACAAACCATACATCACCAACCATAATTTAAACGACATAATAAAGTAGCAAGAATTTAATAAAAACATTAATTTGATGACATTTTTACATACATGTCATATATTTCGACACTGTGACATTGACACACTTTCAAATCAGCAGCAGAGCAAATATCTCCAAAACACTCCTGTAACTGCTGGCCGAAGGTCGAGTTTCGTGTACAATCCTTGCATTTGATTATTGTGTACATAGAATACTAGCTTTTCCCTCCGGCTGCGTTTGCATAAATCTGTTTCTTCTATAGTTATTTTTCGACCTAACTAATAAGGTTACATCGGATTTGTGTCTGGTGCATTTTTGTAAAAATGCAAGTTTGTTAAACTTATTTTTAGTTACTTGTAGCAACTCTTTTAGAATTTCCAGGACCATTCATTCAGTTTAACCCTTAATTACGCGCATAAAGAAACTTACATAACTGCTCGCATGGGGTCACAGATGACCCCAAATTGTATGAGTAGTTTTTAATACATACTGAAATTTTATAAGTAAATGAACTATATTATTATAAAAATGCTTTATTTATTATTTAATGTCTATAGGTAATAACATGAATTTCTCACTAATTATACAAAAACAAGCTAAATTAAAATAATTGTCAATAATTAACAATTTGTACTTAGGTATACTGAGATCATAGGTAATATTAGTATTTTTTAGGAACTCTCGGAATCATTCTTGTTGCACTGTTGACAGTATATTTCAGAGTGATCATTGCACACAAAACTTGTACATTTCTTGCATTTTCGATTCACTTGATTGTGCGGAGGATTGCTCGATCTCATTAGCGCTATCATGATCACTTTTTGTTATTTCATCTAACTCTGGCTCAGAACTCGACCCTCCAACTTCTTCTTCATCAGAAACATCTTCCAACCATTGCACAATTTGCTATTTTTTCCTATCTCTACTAACTCTGAAAAAAAAAAGACAAAGTAGTAGTAAAACTGAATTTATCAATATTTTTATTGTTTAGAGCTGTAAAAACACATTTATAACAAACATTTATTAACTGAATATACAATAACACAAATATTATTCATAATACACAAAATAAATACATAAAACAAAAAACTTACCTCTTCCAAAAAAGTTACGTAATTACTCGCATGGGGTCACCACTCAAGAGCGCAGCGACGCATCCTTCCACTCCCGTGAATTAGTCGCTATCAAAATACAAACTAAGACGTGTTTTATGAAGCTACTGGGGGCGCGGAGAAAATCGGGCCGCGCCAAGTGCTTCATTTTTGAATCCGAAAATGCTTTGACCCCATGCGACTAATTAAGGGTTAAGTGTCCAATAAATTAAATAAAAAAAACAAAAAAAAATATTCCAAGACTTCCCAGACACAAGAACAGTTATTCAAACGAGTGTTTAAAGTGTTATCGATTGAAAAACGACATAAGTTTAATACGATAGAATAAGTAGGTACCTACTCGATATTAGCATTTTCAATAACTATAGAAAATATCATTATTTTTGTCACCCCTACTCAATTTTCCCAGACCATTATTATGGTGATAATAGAGAATAATGGCATTATAAATCAATTGCCATACAAAAAATTGCTCAATTAAATTTTGCAATACAACAACACACGTCGCATTAAAACCATGAATGAAATTGTACAACACTTAAATTGCTGAATGGGCCTATTGATAAAATTTTAAAACGTAAATAACTTCATTATTTTTGTGCAACAAAGTATTGCTACATTAAATTCCGTAATAACTTATAGAGAATTAGAAATTGCCTGTGTCCAAGGTCGGAAATTCAAATCGACTCAATTATCAATTCGATTCTATACATTTTCATAGGTACTGAACTATAGGTACAGGAAGATTAATAACTCTATTTATTTTATGTCTTTACTAAGTTAGACAATGTAAATATTAACACGTTTTACTCGTAGCTAATTTACTACTCGAGGTTAAGCGTAAGTAATATACACTATTGGATTACAAAAATCAATTAATAAAATAAATAAATTGTTTTACACATTTATCAATCTTACAGTTATGTGCTGACACACGTATATTCTTCTGTATTCTTCCGATTAAATTAGTTGCGAGTTTCAAGACAATTAGCTGTCCCCCTGGACTACTCAACCTTCACTGGTTGGGTTTCATTGGAGGCCAAGCTGTAGATCCTGGCTATAAAGCAGTTGAAAGTGTGGTGGGATAAGTCCATTTATTGAATTAATAAGTTGTTTGTTTATACTAACATTTCAAAATAACTAAGTCAGTCATAAAACTTTAATAACATAAATAAGATTTAGAGGGATGTTTCCTGAGTAAACTTATCAAAAAATACTCGACACTTATTTTTCACTTTTTCAAACTAATGAAAATTTAAAAAGATAAATCACGCCAAAGTTCAAACGAAGAGTCCCGTGACGTCAAGGAGTGCTTAAAAGTGAAGCACTTAGTGACGTCACACTTACTAGTTTGATTGACAAATAAAAAGTACGTGTCCAATATTTTTTTGATAATATAATTGACGGACTAAAATATTTTTGTAGGAAACTAGCCTTGTTGTTGGTTTTCCAATGAAATGTTAGTTCTTGAAATGCGAGTAAACACCTGCCACTTATCAATATGGTAGGCGTTAGCACTTAAATTAATAACAACTACGTGCCTCTAAGGGTCTACGATAGCAGTAAACAAATACTCAAATGTATGACGAATCTGTAAAGCATCCTATCAGTAAAGAAAAATGTATATAAGACCCATGGAGGATTGACAAGGAATTTAGTTGAAGAAAAATGGGGTGGTGTAGAGCGCTACTTGTTATCTGCGTGTGCGCATTGCAGGTAAGAACAATATATTTCTGTGTCAAATCTTACGCACGTATTCACAAACATTAATATGAGGTATCACAGTGCGCGTGGACGCACAGAGTGACACACAGACCAATCACAGAGTTCTATTCAACGCTGTGCGTTCGATTTGCTGCTTCACTTAAGGAAGCATCGTTTGTGAATACGGGTGTTAGTCTTACACTGTAGGCAGAATAAGTAAGGAGTGATATTGTTTTTCTTTTTATTATTACAATAATCATGTCGTATATTTTGGTCTATAAATTTGGGTCAGATGACTTTTAGAAATGCATAAATATACTAAGTGTGGTAAGCATCCATACATACTCATATTTATTCTTCAATGCCCCATAAATTGGCACATAAGGGGAACTAACTATCATAAGGCATTCTCTGCCAGTTAGCCCATCACAGATAATTTGTTTATTTTATTTATTTATTTTGGGAAGACCAGGGTTTACATAGTTAGTATAAATCATTATTATATTGTCGTAGTAGTTCTCGCAATTGTAGTTAATTTAATTACAATTCAGTCTCGGAGCTCGCAATTGCAGTTAATTTAATTACAATTGGTTAAATTCAACGTCAATTATTTTTTATTTCAGTTTCAATACTCTCAAACGCGAGTGTTGGTTAAGCGAGCTGCAGGTATAGCAAGTGCTACGCCATATGCAACTAATGAAGCTGCCAGTTCCCATGGAAGTGTGTCAAGTGAATGCACAAACTGCATGCGCGGCAACAGGCAGCGCAGAGGCGCCGTTTATACCGCAGCTCCAAACAGACGATTTGTCCCAAAAACAACCAGCATAAAAATTCCACTCACAGGCCCACACCACATCATCTCGGAAATCGGTATATCTGTAGATAATACTGGTATACATAAAATAAAAATTGTGCCATCTCAAATAAACGAAACAAATGCCGAGGAGACTCCAGACTCATCTAAAGAAGATTCTTATGACGACTCAGTTCCAACTGAGTCTACTAGTACCTCAATGGCTAACAGTGCAGCCAGTGGAGATGGTGCTAACGCCCAAGTAGGAACGATAACATTTTTAGACACAAAATTAATCAAGACTGACGCTGAAAGCATGACTGCTTCCAAAGCAAATTCCAAAGCAAACGGTTCGAATGCTTCTGCAGAGGCAACAGCACTCAGTGCAAGTAATTCCACGACGGAAACTGAGGAAACCAATTCGCTAAGTATATCAGCGGCCAAGGCTGCATCAGGTAACGGCACAGTTGTAACTTTCACCTTTGCGTCTTCGGATCAAGATGTAGATCCTGATAACTGCACTGACACCGGATCAAGTGAATCAACAGCGAGCAGCCAAGCTAGCGGTAGTAACGCAACTTCCGAAGCCGCTTCAGTGACTCTATCAAATGTCAATACCACGGTCACAGATAGAAAAGCAATAACCGTATCGGAATCAGGTGCAAGTGCGGACAATGATGGAGCAACTGCATCGGCTGACACATCAGGCACTGCTGGGAAAAGTGAAACCGGCTCGTATGCGAGTGGTATGGCATCTGGAGAAAACGCGAAAGCCCACGCTTCCACATTCACTTTAGCAGATACAACTGTAACAAATACAGATACGAGTACTTTAAGTACATCTGCTGCAAAGGCTCAAGCAGATGGAGACAACGCTAGTACAACAGCAAAGGCTGGAGGACATTCGTCTCAAGGTAAATCAGATACCTCAGCCGATAGTGAAGCAACTGGAGATAAAACCTCAGCTCAATCAATCTCATCAAGTGTAACTAAAACGCATACAGATACTTCACACACACTGTCTATGAGTGCATCGGAAGCTGATGCACAAACTGACAATGGTACTGCCACAGCTACAGCTGGTTCAGCATCAGAGACAGGTGATTTGTTTGATGTAGAACGTACAGTGGAAGACACACCCACTGACAGCACTGTAATAGAAACACCTACAGATAATGATGAAAATTGTGACGATGCGAACACAGATGCGGAAAATAAAAAGGAATTAGAGGAATTAATTGCTGAAGCCGAAGAAATATTACAACCCGTTTTAGAAGGTGAACCTGTTGAAATGGCGGACGATTGTGACACAGAGACGACCAAAAGCACTGACGATGAAGAAGATTGTTGATGACTCTTCCATTATTTAAGAAACTAACATACTGTTACCAATTTAACAAATAGGTAATAACAATTTAACTAAAATTCTTTATTCACTTTGTTAACTGATTGTGACTTTTAATGATAAGTTAATACATGTCATAGATAGTTATTATAAGTGATAAATATTGATAGCTAAGTAGTTTCATTTGGATCATCTCAACGTCATTCTAAAAGTTTAATGTATATGATAATACAGTGAAATTAAATGCATAATACTTATCTTACGCTTGTTCATATGACTCAATGACGAAATTGTCCAACTATATGGTACCTATTGTTTCTTGGTCATATTATTACTATAAACTGATTTGATAGGATTTGGTTTTATTTGATTTAAGTATAATAATTTCAATTTGTAAGCATGCCGCACAATACCCTGTATAATATTTATAGTTACCTTAATCATTTTCGGACGAAGCTCCTCCACTGAGTTCATGATGCACTTGTCCACGTTAGGATCATTTCGTGGACAGACCTTTATGTATGAAGCTGTAACAAAAAAAACGAGTTAGTAATTAATTCATCACGTAGTTACAAGATTTAAAACGTAAGATTCCTAACACACTTCAGTTGGCTTGGATAAGCACGAAAACTACACGTGAGTTATATTTTACGTTATCAGTATATTGGTATTGGTTAGATATAAGATTGTTGGAGTCATTTGACTTCGAAGCGCTGGGTTCAATTCCGTAAGACCCACCTAGTGTAAATGCCGTCTACACAAAAAACTCGCCGACCCGCCAACATGAGTCGTCGACATTTGACATCTTGTCAAAGGGCTTGGTGTGATAGAACCCTTTATGTCACTGTGTAGGTATATTATGTACCCAGCTTAGAAGGCATGTCGAATACAATTACATTAAAGGACTTGATTTCGTTTTCAACATGCATGTAGATTGATGTTTCTTAACCTACAATCATTTTTTTAAACTGCGATCTCCAACCCGCCTTCCAAGCGTGAGGATTATGGCAAAACCCTCCAATATAGTTGAGGAGGCTCATAGTCCAGCAGTAGGCTCTTATGATGATGATGCATGTAGAGTCAATAGCTACAAAATTGTCTCACTCATTACCTCTTCCGATTACTGTTAAATAATCGAGAAAGTTATCGATAATACCAAGTCTTTAATATTGATCGCATTTAATGCGTCATTTGCGAAACGTAAAAATATAAGGATCGAGGTAAAACTTGAGTTTTACACACTTGAGTGTGGTAACATAGTACGCATGTAAGTGCTGAATGCACGAGTGAGGGGTGCCTTGCGTAACGCACGCCGCGTTCTGCGCAGTGCGTTGCCGTTTGACTTTGACTTTGAAGATTTTGGGGCATCAACATCAGCATAATTAACCCTGATTTGGCTAGCTTTAACGCTTACAAACTTTTTTGAAAAAACGAACAAACAAAACATTATTGTTTGCTCATAAACATGTACACTGAATTCCACGCAACGGATATATCCTACTAATATTATAAATGTGAAAGTTTCTGTGGATGTCTGGATGTCTAGATGTCTGAATGTTTGTTACTCTTTCACGCAAAAACTACAGAACGGATTTTGATGAAACTGTACAGTTTAATTGTTTATAGCCCAGAATAACATATAGGCTATAATTTATGACGATCTGTGACAAACTAAATTTCACGCGGGTGAATCCGCGGGCAAAAGCTAGTGAAAATATAATATTACATAATTATTATATTATAGATACTTATATAATATTATTACTTTGAAAAATAAATATTTCCAAAAAAAGATATGCTCTATTTTAAAAATCTCACCAGGAAATCGCATGAATAGATTTACATTTGTTTTGATTAAAAATAACTTTAAAAATATAAGTTTTATAGAAATCAAAATAGCTTTAAACTTAAATTTCTTTTATGACTTTAACGGACGGCACAATTTTTCTGTTCTATCCCATCATAATCATCACATAATGTAGTTTTAAAGAGAAACCTGTAACTGTGACGGTGTGTTTGGCGATAACTTACTAAAAACAAGTTTTTATATAACCAGGCTCTCTTAAAATGTTATTTTAAAATGTGCATTCTTTTCTTAATCAAAAGTGCATCGAGTGATAGTGATGACGCTGGATAATCCAGCTTTCGCGTCAGACTGGTCGCTGCGCACGAGTTATGTCACTGAACGTTACATGCATCATATAATTCATATACAGAACGAACTGATAAACGTTTTCTTTTTGGAAACTGCCGTGCATTCACTACGATACAAAAAAAAACATTTAATTCCTTCTAATAGGCTTTTAAAAAGCGTTTTTATACGTCTCGAGACGCGTTGTGTGCGCGCTGCCTACGAGTATCACTGCATAGTTAGATATTATTCTCCTTATAAAGCATAAAAAACAGTAAATACCATAAGAATAGATCTAATTAAATTAAAGAGCAAGCAATAGCTAGATCGAGAACTAATTGAATTGTGAATGAGATAAAAACTGTACCACTTCCTCGGATAATGTTAATTACTGATTCTGAGAAAACAGCGCAAAAAAACTACATCACCAATGGATTAATTGATATCATACTCGTACTAATCTTAAAGGACACATGTCGAAATACCTCATAATGTCAACATTCCCACAGCCCTCTAACACGTTATGTACCTTATAAAAAATACCTCTATAAATACACCACAGGGTTAACGTACAAAACTTTTCCATGCGCAAACGCCGAGCCCATAGCGGCTAGGGTTGCCAGATGGTCGTGATTTAACGGAATTTTCCCGAAAAACAACTTCATTTTAGTGATTTCAGCACTTGGCATATAACAATAATGTTTAATTTTGTTATTTTTTTTTGTTTACTTAACAGTTGCATCTTTATCTTAGGCCGTTCGATTTTTATTAATTATAATTTAATTTTGTGGTTTTTGATATACATGAATAGGTACTTTTATTGCTTCTCCCGACCAAAGTCCCAAAATCTGGAAAAAAACTTGAATTTCCCACCGATAAGTAGAGCTATTTGCTCTGGCAACCCTAAGCAGAGAGAGACTCGTCACAAGTATCGCAATCGTTCTGCAATCGCTTCCCAACGCAACATGCGTTTTGACACATACAGGCTATACCTATTTACGAGCAAAAGTATGGAATCACCCTCTTGTATTTTATCTGAAGAACTCAATTATTATCTATTAGCGGCCCACCCCGGCTGCGCACGGTTGCAATGGAAATTCCCGGCTTTACTCTTCTATAATATACATGTTTTATACCCATAAACCTTCCTCTTAAGTCACTTTATCTATTTAAAAAAACTGCATCAAAATCCGTTGCGTAGTTCTAAAGATCTAAGCATACATAGGGACAGACAGCGGAAATCGACTTTGTTTTATACTACATATGTAGTGATGGTATCAAGTTAAACCTTTAAACTGGTATCAATTTGAATTGAATCTTCATAGTCATTTAATTCTAAAGAGCACTCGAAAAGAATGGGGTGATTTAATACTTTTGTTCGCGAGTGTAGTTCTATTCTATCATTAATACCGCTTTTCAATGTCTAATATCTAGAGCCTTGGTTAGTGAAAATTCGTCCGGCTTTAACGTTCTAACATCAAGTCTAACATCACAAGGCGATTTTAATTATTTTTTAATTACAAATTTATAAGTACTGACTCCATAATCTAATTCAAAATATAAATTGGGCATCATTTTATATCTGGGTTAAAACCTTGCATAGGTTATAATTAAGTGAGGCTTACTTTTCAATACCTTTAGATTTTAATACCAATTAAGGTAAATTAATTTCGAAATACTTCAAGGTTGTTTAAACTCCAAACGCTTTAAATAAGTCTCAAGCGTTTGTAAATAAATCATATTTGCACAACAAAGTTATGTTGAGGTCATTTAGTTTGCAGTGGTTTCGCATACTAACTTTTTAATATGATACTTGCTGTGTGTATATTTTTCTTGCAGGTCCTTGACTTAATATGAAAACTTACGGGATTTTTTTCACGAAACCAAAAAAACAATAGAACCAAAACAGTCTACGTTCTAGTGAACGAGTTATATCAGTTTTCCACTTGAAATTGGCACAAATAAACCCCAGAGTTTGATTGCCATCATTAAAGAAGAAGAAGACGAACACAAGTTTAAAATGTAATTTCCGTACTAAATGTCACTTTGAGCCATGTACCTATGTGTAGAGAAATATACGAGCTGTAACTACTTAGTAAGTACAACTATTTATAATAAAATCTACTTAAAAAAACCTACTTAGTAAGTACAACTATTTATAATAAAATCAAATATTTCATAAACAGAACCAAAGGATAACATCCGAAAATAAAATAAGAAGAAATATGTTTTTTTTTTTTTTTTAGTACAAAAGACATCAACGACGCACGTAAAAATCAACACCCAAGTTTTACTACTGAAGTTCCAATTTAAGCGTTGCATTTACATAGATAAAAGAAGCAGTGAAAGCAGATAGGTCATAGCAGGGATACATCCACTCGTCGTGCCCTTCAATTAGTTTGATTATTTGTCTTATTCAAATCTACCTAACGCGTCGGGCACACAGGCAGCGTAAGTGCGTGCATTACTTTTTATACAATTTGACTGTAATACAAGAGCATGTATGTCTTTTATGTGCAGGAGCCTTTTGTTATGCATAATAACTTTTAAAAAGCCCTTTTTCACGTCCCGAATAAATGGATATGCTACGGGATGGATATCCTACCAAATGCTACGGGACATTTTGTTAGCGTCTCTTTCAAGGGCTTACAGTACTATAAAAGGTTAAATATGTTTGTATTTTATACCCAATAAGTAGTGTCAAGCCGAAGCCCAGAGGTAGAGCATTACCTATCCAATGCTATCCAAATCCCCCCATGTATGTTCCGCGATTTTTGATAGTTTTCGAGTTATGATTTTATTAAATTTCTGTGCTTAGGCACTTTTTTGGTCTCTGTGTCGCGAATAGTCAAGTTACATGCCTGATTTTTTTATTATAATTAGATGAATACTAGGCCTAGCTGATTCATAAGTATTTACATCCATAACACGAATGTAAACTAAAATCTTGTATGTTGTAAAAAAAATCACAACTCGAAAACTATCAAAAGTCACGGTGATTTGGGTTCGACTTTTTGGTATAAACTTTTACAGCAAAACTCTTTTTCATCAAGATTGGTTGCATGCGGCCCTTGACACTCGTTTCGGACTCGATCCGATCAAAATCAAAAATATGTATTCATTTAGACCACAAGTGGCACTTGTGGTCTAAATGTGAACGTCAAAATATAGTAAATAATAAAAAAGATAAGGTAGCCCTTATGAGGCACTTTACATGTCTCCTTATCTTTTGGGCCCTACCATGCTACACGAACAGTTTGTATTAATTTTTGTTATTGCTACAAGTTTAATCATAAGAATTTATTTTCGTGCCGGCAAACTAATATCATACGTAAACGGAATATCAATTTCCGAGTTTCCCTTATTATCTTTAACGAGTCGAGACTTTTAATACTGCTTATAATTAACTGAATTGAACCGTTAATGTCAGAAATGGGATATCGTAAATCAAATATAAAATGTACCATATTATTTATAAAGGTTCATTACATCAACACTTAAAAACCCAGGCCTTGTTTTTAAACTTCATCATTATCTATTACTAATATTATAAACCTGAAATGTTTATCCCATTTATCGAGGAAGACTTCAGGCTATACAACATCATCCTACAGTCAATAGGGGCAGTATAGAAAATTGTTGCAGAAACGGGAAATATTAGGTATTCAAACTATTTTCACGCATACGAACTACGAAGTCGCGGGAACAGCCAGTTTACATATAAAAACTAATCTAAACGAATAATATTATGAATGAGTAATAATGCTTTGCGTGATCAATACTAGGATAGTTGATTATGAAGCAATTAAATTCACGCATTACTTACTTTAATTTCAGGAATTGATTAGAAAATGTTTATTGGAATTGAATTCATTTGTCGTAGACGTTAATCATTTTAATGATTTCTTGCTTCAATAAACATAGAGACTATTTTTCTATGCTAGAGTTAAGTGCTACTACTCGTAGGAACATTTAGCAATCTCAACTTTAGTTCATATTTCAAGGATAAGTGAAAAGTTGTTCCTAGGCGTGCAACTGCATCTCATGTAAAGGTGCAACTTAACCTAATCATTAGACTAAGGTTAGGCATTTGATTATCATTATGTTTATGAAATTGATACCTAATTTTTATATTTAAAAAACTTTCTTTTTCCAAGGCTTTTTATTATTATGTATACCAATTTTAAATGCAGTTAACTCTTACCAAAACAATTTCAACGCATACGCTACTCTATTAAGCAACCGCGGCATACTTCTAGTCAATTATCCAACTCGATGCTACAGAATCGGGTGTTCAATCTATATAAAAAGCACTTACGTATGTCGGCTGCAACGTACTGCAGCGTGAGCAGTAGGACGGTGGTTGTCAACATTTTGGACGGTCACAAGTTTGAGAACGGTCGAGACGGCCGGCCGGCGCGGACGACGGCGCGGTACTGGCCAGTCGACGCGCGCGCAAGGAGTAAGGACGCACGGGCCCTATCCCAATATAAAACAATAATTGCTCATTATACATACGCTTAAGTACAATTAATTGATACGATCAATCAACTGATCATCGACCCTTGCCTCATGTCCGCTCGATGGAAAGAACAAAGTGCTGTAGCAGTAATAGTAATTGGTTGATTTGTTTTTATTACTCTGTGATCAGCTGTAACCATATTTTTACAATTTATTTTTATTCTACCAATTATTTATTAGATAAACTTATTTTTGGTTTGAACATTACATAAAGCCTTCAATGAAAAATAACTGCTTCAGGCAGGATGCAACTGAAAAAAACTACTTTTACGTACTACATTACTTAGAAATCACGTGAGTGGTAAAAAGACTCTACTTCGCTTGAAAAAATCATAACTACATCTAAGAACTAAAAGACAATATTTAATATCTGTGCCCTTAATAACATCTGTTTACCCTCTTAAGTTTGTAATTACTTCAGTTAATGAACAGCCTTGACATCATTATTACGTAAAACAATAAATTTTCAGATGTAATAATAACAATTAGTCCTTAAATTGGCATTGCTCCCATTATAAACAATGAATTTTCCTGTCTCTACATTATTTTTTCCAATCAATATTGTAAAGAGCATCTTTTATTCTTAGAAAAAAAGACTACTAATTGAATATCACTTTCATGTTAAATCTCACTGAAAAATAAATACCCCAAAATGTTACAAGGATTGTCCTCAACCATGGTTTCCCAACAAAATGCGTTTTCTGCGTTAGAGTAAACCAAAATAATATCCTAATTCAATATGTAATATGACGTTCTTAGAGCGCTATAAAAATATCAACGAGCTGTGCCGTAGTGTAACATTTTTTAGGAGTAGGTAATTGGATTATTATACATTCTTCTATCAATATAATTACCTTTATAATCCGTACTTTTTCAACCCTACCCGGAATGTAAAATGTGAAATTATAAACTTTCATTTAATTGTTTCTTATAATTGAACATTTGCACGGAAATGAACTAAATATATTTTGCTCATAACGTTCTCTGTATTTCATTTGACATTAATATTAAACGTGATGTTTGTGGTCGAGGTAATTTATTTCTTTGGATGTAAAAAATATAACGAAAGAAACGCAGGAAACGACTCTATAATGACGGATAACATGTATTGTATACATGCCTACGTTTTGTTTCATATAAAATATACTTATTTTTTCCGATCAATCATAGTAATAAACTTTCAGGTTTTCGAGAACCAGACACTTTTCTTATTGTTATTTAAGGTTAATTTACTTTATTAACGTATAAAATCTTTATATTTTTGTTAAATCTTTAAAGATGTTCCAAAAAAAAGTCACTTTTACTTACTTTTTTTAAATTTTTCAGAACCTCATAACTTGTGAACGGGCAACTTTGGATGCGCGCTGATAGCGTAGGATTACAGTCAACAAGCCATAGAACAAGGCTCAAGTAGTTTCAAAGCAAGATCTGTCAAGGCTTAGTCGAAATCGACCACTTTATGTTTCATTCCATACAACGAAAATGGAACCTAAAAACACATTTTAATAAACTTAAAAGGAATTAAATCAGCGATTTTTTTTTCACAATTTCTGTTTAAAAAAAATACCTATCGATAGGGTATGTTATTCTGATGAATAAATATTATGGACGTTTTTCTCTAAAACCAATAGTTTGGCTGGAAAAAAATATTTTCCATTTTCGTTGTATGGAATGAAACATAAAGTGGTCGATTTCGACTAAGCCTTGACAGATTTTGCTTTGAAACTACTTGAGCCTTGTTCTATGGCTTGTTGACTATAATCCTAGACTAACAGCGCGCGCCCAAAGTTGCCCGTTCAGAAGTTATGAGGTTCAGAAAAATAAAAATTAAAGTAAGTAAAAGTATCTTTTTTTTGGGTATAAATCTTTAAAGATTCAACTAAAACATGAAAATTATATACTTTAGTAATGTAATTAACCTTTCTCTTGTCGTCTTATCTAAAGAAAAGTCAATTTTACTTACTTTAATTTTCATTTTTCGGAACCTCATAACTTCTGAACGGGCAACTTTGTGCGCGCGCTGTTAGTGTAGGATTATAGTCAACAAGCCATAGAACAAGGCTCAAGTAGTTTCAAAGCAAAATCTGTCAAGGCTTAGTCGAAATCGACCACTTTATGTTTCATTCCATACAACGAAAATGGAAAATATTTTTTTCCAGCCAAACTATTGGTTTTAGAGAAAAACGTTCATAATATTTATTCATCAGAATAACATACCCTATCGATAGGTATTTTTTTTAAACAGAAATTGTGAAAAAAAAATCGCTGATTTAATTCCTTTTAAGTTTATTAAAATGTGTTTTTAGCAGTAATTTAAGGTTAATTTACATTATTAACGTATAAAATCTTTATATTTTTGTTAAATCTTTAAAGATATTCCAAAAAAAAGTCACTTTTACTTACTTTTTTTTAATTTTTCAGAACCTCATAACTTGTGAACGGGCAACTTTGGATGCGCGCTGATAGCGTAGGATTACAGTCAACAAGCCATAGAACAAGGCTCAAGTAGTTTCAAAGCAAGATCTGTCAAGGCTTAGTCGAAATCGACCACTTTATGTTTCATTCCATACAACGAAAATGGAGAATATTTTTTTCCAGTCAAACTATTGGTTTTAGAGAAAAACTTGTGCAACATTTATTCATCAGAATAACGTAACCTATCGATAGGTACTTTTTTCAAATAGAAATTGTGAAAAAAATCGCTATGTCCATAAATCGCAATTTCGCTCCATAGTGCGGTGCCGTGAATTGCCCTGCAGCGGATCACACGTTCGATTCCTAGACGATCAATTCATGTGAAATTATATGTTGTAAATTACCAGTATATTGGATGCAATAGATAGAATCATCTATTATGAGTGTTAAAATGCTAAGTACAATCTTTTTTTAATGATAACCCGTTAACCCAACGTGGAAAGTTACAAGTAATATTCCAGAGGCGCGGGGGTTCGAAACCGCGTTCGAGTCGGCTATTTCGACACTAGTGATATTAGTGTCTATTATTGAGAGGATGAACCATCTTCGAATCGGTAACCCAACATCCTGGGGTAGGCACTAGATCATAATACGCGCATGATACCAGCGCTCGATATTTATAGACTATCGCGCGATTAGAATAGCTCCGTAATTTGGGAGGCCACCAGAATACACCGCTAAATGCTTCCTCCGATTGCAGAGGGAAACTGCCTCCCTTCCTGGACCTAGTCTTCCGCGCCGCACGTGACCGTTGCGAAGTTTCCGATAGTGTAATTGCCATTTAAAGTAGGACATACGCCAGACTCAGTGGTAAGCGACATCAGATAAATCTAATCGAATGTTCTATGGCTGTGGGCACCCGCTGAAAATCAGTATCAAGACATTTGTCTGTCTCGAATTTAATACTGTCGAGCGGGCGCCTTTTTGACACGAAAGGATTCATCATCATCATCATTTCAGCCACTGGATGTCCACAAATGAACCCCGATCTACTACTTTTTTAAGTTTGTATATTTTGTGTCAAATATTTTTTCTTATTCGTAAGGATTTGCAGTGTATAGAGGTCAGTACTTAAGCACAAACCAACCAAATTCTTTAAAAAAGTTAAAGCAGTTAGCTAGAGACCTTTGGCTTAATTTTTTTAATTGTGTATAATACTGTATCTCATGTTGATAGCCCAATAAAATAAATAAATAAATAAATAAAAAATTATACCGACTACAAAAGATAAAAAGTGCAGTAACCACTGAAAAACACCACTGAATAGTCGGAACAGAATCCCTAAAAACAAAACAAAATAAAAAGAAATAGTCATATGTGCTATCGACTATTCATCATAACACAAGTTACATGGAGTGTGAATTTACACATACATTTCCTTAGAGGAAACGTCAGATTGAGATACCCGACGTATTCGTAGCTGAACACTGTAATTTTCTGCCATAGCATGATTCGGTATTACGCATACAATGACCTAAGCGGAATCATTACTTGCAATTCGATTAGCATACGTTTCAAAACCATTGTAACAGTGTTGGAATCTACATACAGCTGCTCTCTTTCCCGAACACTATAATCCGGACCTTTTCAAGGCGAGAGTGAATAAGCACTTACAGGGCAGATATCAATCCTAGAATGCATCTCACTTAACATCGTGCAATTGCGGTCAAATACCTTCCTTGTTCTACATAAGTAGTTACTGATTTTTGTGGGCTCTCCCAGTTTCAATAATAAACCACTGTATTTTAATTTAAAGCACACAGATTACAATATTCCCAGTAACCACTCTAGCTAAGTTATTTTATTTGCTTGTGTTAGTTGTTGGTTCACCAAAATAGTCAACGGAAATTGTACTGCCGACCCTCGAATCTGTAGTCCATTGAGCTAATGTCGCCAGTGGATTCCAAAATTTTCTAAAAAATTAGTATTTTAGTCTACCTTAAAATAATGGTAATGATTAAAAAAAAACTCCAGTAAAGTCAATGTTAAAATTAAGTGAAATATTTGTGTATAAAATCTTGTATTTTGTTATAAGTACAAATATTAAACATTCGGTAAAAGTTTTAACTTTTCTTTAACCTGCAAATCTACTTTTCATACTTTCCATAATGCTTCCTTTATTTGTTCAATACATTTTTTTTAACTTTCAACATCGTTATAAGAATTATCTACACGAATCAGCAAAGCAATCGATTCAATGTAAACTCTACACATCGTAGCTAGCGACGTAACGGACGCGCGGCGGTTCCGTTTCCCATTTTTGAAATAGGAACTCAGCGAGGATATCCCCGTCGAAGCGCGGGCGCAAGTTACATAGTGTATCATAATTCGTCAGTTTCCTACGGACGTGGCGAGCGGCGGTGTGGCAAGCGCGGTCAAGGCGATCCACGCGGATTATTGGCAACACAGAAATAAGATCTAAATGCGAAGATGGAAAACTTGTGCAATACCGCTGCCCCCTAGCACTGATCGCTAAGTTTTATTTGAC